GGCATTGCATGACCTCTGTTGCAGTTAAATCAAGATAAAGTGAGTCCTTTTCTGTTGCTGGTTCTCCATATGGGGAAGTGAGCATGTGATACCAAAAGCTTGCTTCTCTACAGGTCAGGATGTTCTCTTTGATCTCCAGGCTAAGCCTTTCCTGTCCACATAACGTTCATGTACTTTTGTGCCAGTTCAGTTTGAACACAACAGCTTCCTTCTCTCCCTTTCTCCCCAGACACTGGGATAAACCCTGTGATGTAAAACAGTCCTATTCCCTTGTTTACGTATGGCCAGACTAAGCAATCCAGCAGCCTCCAGGAAGGAGGGCTCTTTATCACCCCCTTCATCCTAGCAGCTCTTCCCTCTTCTGTCTGTGCTTTCGTTTTTCATTGGAACTGCAGCCCATCAGTTGATGCTGCTGCATAATAACCCACTAAAAATTCAGCTCCCACTGATCAGGCAGATATTGCCCTTATGTGCCCTGGAACCACACAGCTGCACTGCAAAACAACAGTACCCAGCTGATGCACCCTGATTTGCTTCTCTTCATCCACTTCAGTCATCTCCCCTTCACCAGCTCCTGGCTATGTCGCAGCTAATAGCTTGCCAAGGACCACCATACAGAATACTTTGCTGACACCTAGATAAACACAGTCTACTGTACATTCTCTTGTCTACAAAAGTCATTTATCAAAGAAAGCTGTGAAGTTAATTTGCAGTGAACTGTTCTGCTAATTCTGATGTGCGTTTCAATTAAATTTACACCCTAAGTTATTTTTCCTAGCAAAGCACATACTAGAAACTGTTGTGTTACCAAGGTCAGGCTAACAGGTCTTTGGTTTTCTACACTACATTACATTTTTCATGCCTCAGATACGAGCACTGTTCTGGTTTCCAGTCATGTGGTGCCTGCTCCACTTGGATATATTTACATTCCTTCCTTATAAACGCTTGGTGTGCCTGTTCTTTCACCTCCCTTGACACAAGCACAGGAGCTTTAGGAACATTGCTTTTTCTTCAAGTACAGTACTTTTTTTTGGTTGTTTAAGCACAGCAAAGTGCCAAAGAGAGGTTTCTCTTTTCCATCCTGCATGAGTGTTCTACTTCTTATACCCTGTCTGATTTCAGGGGTTACTTTCCTAAACACTTGTCCTTCCCCGCTAAGGCTGCTAATTACAAATCTCTTTCAGCTTTTACTGAGGGTCTTCCATATTTCAACATTCAGTCTACCTGCTTCTGTAAGTTCCTTCAGTTTTCTTCAGATCTACTTTGTTAAAATAAAATTTTAGCCATAAGCCCATTTTTTCTTCTCTTTGTGCCTGAAGTGAAGCTAAACCATGCCACAGAAGCAGCCTGGATGAGGTGCTGACATTTGTAGCTGAGGCTGAGGCTCCCGGTCCAACCCATGTGAGCCTTGCCATCTCTTGTCACGGTCTCATGGCAAAGCTGCTGCCATGCACATCCATCCAGGTCCTCAGAATACCCTCCCGGGTGTCAGCACATGCCTGGGCAGCAAGGCCAGGCCACGGGGAGCCAAGCACAGCAAGTTACAGTGCACCACTGTGAGTCAATCCAGTTCCTGGCTCACAGCCTGGCACTTGGATGAGCTCCGGGCTTGGGATTCAGTGGGTTCAGGGGAAGGTTCTGTACTCAGCTGTTACAGCAGCAGATTGACCAAAGCCATCGAGACCAGCTCCTGCCATTAGGTCAAAACTGTTCCCGAGCTCCAAGTAAGAATGGAAGCGGAAGTTGGCAAAGGCCATATTGCAGCAGGTTCCTTCTGTGTACAAGACTCAAAAGCCAAAAAGACAATATGGGGTTTTCTTTGTAGGACAGTAAACTACCAGGACATGGGAACAGATGTGAGAACTTTATTTTGTATCAATGGATTACTTTTTATTTTCTTTTTCCTTTATTTCCCCCTATATGGATCTAGTTTATATACAAATTAAGTCTGTCACAACTTAAAATCCATCCCTATCCGTGGGCATGCAGCAGTCACTGCAGTATGAGTTAGGCATACTGCAAAAACTCCCAGCACAACTGACCACCATCAGTGCTGAAGCAGCCATAGCGCTGGGGAGGATCTGCAGCTCAAGTTCTGTCCTGAGTAACATCCTCCAAACTACTAAACCTATTGTTCTCTCCTGCATAATGTCCTCCAAACTACTAAACCTATTATTACTGTTGATATGCGTGGTGCCTGGATGTGGAGTCATGTTTCATTGCTTTGCTTTTCACCTGAAAAGGTGTTTTGTACGCACAGAAACTCTATCATCCTGGTTGCACAGGCTTTTGTTTTTCAGTCTGGAGCCCTTATGGTACTGTATCTCCTAGAATTAGGGTTGTTCTTAAACTACTGGCAAATCTTTTGCTATTTTTTTTCCATTCTCTTTGCTTAGGACTGCATTTATCCCCAGAGTTAAAGCAGCTGGTAATGACAGTGCCTTCTCTTTAGACACAGCAAACAAGTCCAAGTAGCCACTGCCTACTCTTTCATTAAACATTCCTGATCCCCAGGCTCTTATCTGGAAGCTTTAACAATGTCATTTTCATCTGCCTGTGTTTGAAGCACAGACATCTGTGTATTCATACATTATATGCTCCTGTCTGATAGCAGATTCATAAATGCCATAAGAGTTGGGTTCAACATACAGAAGTAAGATACTCTGATGTGTGTGGATGTGGCAACCTAGATATCAGGGGATTGGTTATTGGTTTACATCACTAGAAAATTTTTGTGGCATTGTTTGAACTTCACAATAGCTGTAATCTTTACTGAAGCCTTAAGGAAAAGGGGCAGATGTGTTCTTTAGAATCTCTTGTTTGCTCACTGTAGATAGAGGGAAGCGGTGCCAAGCCGATGGTGAAAGACGTGGCATCTGAAAATGAACAGCAGTCTTCCCATCCCCAGTCCGTGCCTGCTGAGTAGAACAAGTTTTGGTAAAACCCACTGTGTGTCCTCAGCTTATTGAGCCCTGCAACGAGAGCCCGAAATGCAAGATGAAGCTAATGACGGTTTCAATCCACTGCTCTGTGTCATGCCAGCCCCACTGTTGGTTCCTCTGGCTCTGCGATGATTCACTGCTATCCTGAAAAACAGGCAGCAGTGGCACAGCATTAGTCACGGGCACTGACATGGAGGATGCTCGTGCTGGGGAAGTACAGAATATACTGCTAAAGAGAAACTAGGTTTTCGTTTTCCTGCAGCCTGGGAAAACCAGTTTCAGGACGTCACAAGTAAAGCTACAATTGGTTTTTTGTCCCCCTTCCTGAAGAGAAGCAAAAATAATAATAATAAAATGCTTAGCCGCAGGGAGAAATTTGTGTATTTTTTAATAGTTGGCCACTATCTTCCATTCATTTTTTCCTTTTGTCACTCTCAAATTGTTTGATATCTACGTTTTTTTTCCATCACCTTCTACTCCTGTTCCTCCACTGCATTGTTACACTGCATTCTCCCTCACACCTACCCGAGCGTTACAGTGGCTTAGTTTGGAGGCTGTTCTCCTTGCCTTACAAACAGAAACTACAACTAGTAGCCACTGCTCTCCCTACCTCCCACGTGTGCTGCTCAGCCCTTTCACCCCCACTGATCCTCACAACCTTTGTTTTAACTAAAGTAAAATGAAGGTATAGGCAGCAGTGAGAAACAGAGTAACGAAAACTTGAAACCAACAACATTCCTCAAGTCTTGCTGCACACGACTTAATTTCAAAAGCAGACTTTCCCCAGGCTGTGCTCCTAATGATAGAGCAATATTCCAACACCTTTACTCAAGAAAATCAGGTAGTTGACTTCAAAATTAATTTCTAACCTCAAACCTAATTGCTCCGGGTGTAACAGCACTGAAGGGAGTAGAGACTTGCAGTGTTCAGCTGGTGTGGGATCTGAATCAGGCCCCCTGTGGGTCTTGCTTTAGGCATCGGTTCCTGACTGCAAATGATGGAAATGGAAAGGAGCTATTTCTCTCCCTCACTCAGCAAGCATGCAGCCAGTTCCCAGCAGCGTATTTTATTTCTTTATGCGTTATTCCTTAGCTTGTGCTAAGAGATAAAGGAGCGGTTGCTTCACTTGTGAGACTGATGCCTAACACAACTCATTTCTCACTGACATCCTGAGGAAAGCTGGATAAAGAGGATAGATTTTTTTTTTTTACCACTTTCTCTAAGAACCTAGCAAAATCTTCACTTTACCTCTTAGACACCGATTTGTCTGTCGCTCCATTAGAGCTGACTTTGTGATGGGTCAACCAAGGTACCCAGCAGGGCGCACCAGGAGCAGGGCACGCTCTATATAAGGCATGGTAGGGCAGATGCAACGGCCGCACCGTTGTGTCACCCACAGTCCGGGTGCCAAGGTCCAGGGAGCTGCCCGCGCTGTGTGCACTGGAGCTGGAACGCCCTGTTATGTGGGATGGAGAGGTGGGGGCCCGCGGGAAGAGGGCCAACAGGAAACCGAAGCGAGGAGTGCAGACGGGCCATGTGGGGTGATGAGCACACGGGGCAGAACAACGAGGAGCGGTTCTGCGTTTCCTCCGCCACCAAAACGAACGACTTTGTAACGTGCCCTCACCCTCGGAGCGGGCTGAACGCCGGCCCAAGCGCACCACTCACACACACAAAGCTCGTGGGCTGCACGACACGTTGCGGGCCGGGAGCCCACGCTCCAGCCTGGGGAATCTGCACTGCATCCCTCCATCCTGCCCCATTCACCGCCTTTGGGTTCGCTTTACAACCCCCGTCTGACCCGCGCGCTTCCCAGCTCCACGGCTTCACCTCTCGGTGCCCGGCGCCCCGCCCGCTCGCGCACAGCCGGCCCCACCGCCAGCAGGGCGAGCGCTGCGGGTAACGGCCCCACCTGACGCAACCCGCGGCCCGCTTTGCCCCATGCGCGGCGCGGCGAAACAGCCCGCCCTCGTTGCATCACCCGCAATGGGCCGGGCCGGCCGGGCGGGGCGACGCCGCTGCGGTCTTTAAAGGGCCGGGGCGACGCGCGCATCCCCAAAGGCGCCCGGCGCGATGAAGCGGGACGCGCAGAGCACCCAGGAGCACCTGGGCCGGCCCGAGGGGCCGGAGCCGCCCGCGGCTTCTTCGTCCTCGGAGCCGGCCGCTGAGCTCAAGCCGCGGCTGTGGATCTTCGGGTACGGCTCGCTGGTGTGGAGGCCGGGCTTCGAGTTCACGTCGCGGAAGGTGGGCTTCATCCGCGGCTACAGCCGGCGCTTCTGGCAGGGGGACACCTTCCATCGCGGCAGCGAGCGGGCGGTAAGCGCGGGGCGGGACGCAGGGCGCAGCGGGACGGCCAGGCTGTCGGCAGCGGGTCGTAACGCTGTTTCCTTGCTCTCTCCCCACAGCCCGGCCGGGTGGTGACGCTGCTGGAGGACCGCGGGGTGAGTAGGACGGCCGGTGGCGCGCTGGGGGCCGCGGGCAGGTGCGATGTCCCCGGGGTGTGACCGCCCGTCCTCTCGTTGCAGGCGTGCACGTGGGGCGTCGCCTACGAGGTGTGCGGGGAGCAGCAGGTCGCCGCCTCGCTGCAGTACCTGAACGTGCGCGAAGCCGTGCTGGGCGGCTACGACACCAAGCTGGTCAGCTTCCACCCGCAGGACAAGGAGGCGGGGGAGCCCATCCAGGCCCTCGTCTACATCGCCACGCCGCAGAACCCCTCCTACCTCGGCCCGGCGTCCGAAGAAGACATCGCGGCACAGATCATCGTCTCGAGCGGCTGTGCGGGCCACAACGTGGAGTACCTCCTGCGGCTGGCGGACTTCATGCGCTACTTCTGCCCACAGGTGGAGGACAAGCACCTCTTCTCCATCGAAGAGGCCCTCATTGCCCTCCTGCCCTGCCTGTGCCACTCGGAGAAAGCCCTGGAGGAAGCGCCTGGCGTCCCGCAGAAGGTCGAAAGGGAGAACTTCTTGCAGGGCTCCAGTAGGAGGGACGAAACAATCGGGACGGCCTGAGCTCTAACAGAACTACACAGGGCCGAGTGGATGAAAGGAAACAGGGAGGGAGGGAGGGAGGAGGCAAAGGGGCTGCACGGTTCCTGTTACACTCTTAACTGTAGCACCTGCAGCCATCACCACTTTCCAGGTGGGAAGTGTTGATCTGACTAGAGCTGTGCCCTAAGGCTTGATCTTTTGGGGTGAGACCTGGAGTGCGTGCTTCCTCAGGAGGGGAAAGAGGCTCCTCTGTGCACTTATTTTATTTTTTTTTCTTAAACCTCAAAGACTGGTTGAGCAGGACTTGACTGGGTTTTAGCAGTATATTTGTGTTCTACCTCAGGCTGGCCAAAGCTGTTGCATGGTGGTTGAGCTTGGCTAGGTTCTGCCAAATGATCTTTTTTTTTCCCTCCCATGTCCCACCTCCAGTGCAATACAAAGTGAATGTGCCTCTGTGGGTCCTACTTCCTGGTGTTGCAAGGGATCACACGAATGCACTTGCTTTTCTAAACTGTTCTGTTGTATTTATTATGCGTTGTGTGTCTCCTTAGGAGAGGTGTCAGGCTGCTTATGTGCCACTGTGGGATGCAGCCCAGGCTCACCTTTGCATTGGTGCCTTCTTGCTTTAGCTCAGTTTCCTGAGGCACTGAGACTGTGTCAGTGGCAGCAGCTTTGCTCTAGACTTGTGACCTTGTGCTGCTGCAGGCTCAACTGATGCTGTAAGGTCCTGTGTAGAAGTTGTGGGATAGCTGTCTGATGCAGCAGCACTTTAACCAGCCCTGTACTGAATTGCCCTCTGGTGCTTTAGGGTAACGTGGACTTTCAGAGAAGAACCTGAGGGTTCCAGTATCATACCCAGAACTGTGCTTGGTAGATTTGTACTTATCTGTAAAGGACCATCACTGAACATAATGCAATCCTGGATCCTGCTTTGTCAGGAGAAGTGGAGGTACTGCTGCAAGCTCAGGCTTCTCAGCTTCACATATTAACAGCATGAAAACCTATAGTATTTGGAAAGGAAACTGCTGCTACTGCAATTAGCAAAAGAACTCCTGAGAGCTGACCTCTAGGACACTTGACTCCTCCCAAACACTGTTTTTTGTTTTTTTTTTTTTAAAAATAAAGATAAAAAATAGGGGATGTTTCCATTACTGTGGCTTGTATGTATATGAACTGGTACTGTGCTGTGCCCAGTAATAAAACAAGCTGACAAAGTCAGTCCTTTGTACTTTTTTTTTTTTTTAAGTTACTGACTTCAAACTGATTCTTATTTTTAATGTTTGACTTTTTGTCTGTTTTCTAAACTTAACTGGCAATGCTACTGTAGTTCCTTTCGAGACGAGAAAGCCTTGATGCCGAGCAGATTCCCTCATCTAGATTTCCTAGAAGACACCCATTTCAATATTTCACTTTAAGAGGAGTGGGTTCAGTCATTCTCTCCACTTCCAGTCCATGCTGGAGCACTGTGCTAACACCAGCTGTAAGCCAGCCCTGCTGCCTGCACAGGGCGGGTAAGGCAATGCAGCTCTCTGGGCATGCCAAAGGGTTTTTACTTGAGCTGACCTTACTCTGGCTGTTTCCATGAAGTATCAGCACAGTACCAGGAAGTGCCATTTGCAGCAGGCTCTGCTGACTGTGGTGGAGAAACATCCTCTTCTGCCTTGCACACAGCTGCTGTGTGTGCAGGGCCACCGGGCAGCTACCCTACTGCCTTGATTCCTCTTGTCACCAGCTGCCTCCCTGCTGAGACAACAGTGCATACCTGCATTACCTGTCTCTAGACAGGAGTTACAGAGTGAAAACTAATTGAAACAGATTAATTTAGCACTAATTAAAGGCAAGTAATAGTCTAGAGAAAACTCTGCTTTCCCTATTCTGTTTGAGGCTCTCACTTCAGCTGAGCAGCTGCATCTTCCCCAGGTACTGCTGCAGGAAGCGAGGGCTGCTGCCTGCTAGCAGCGTGGCTCCTGGATGAGATGCTGCTGCCACCACTGTGAGCAGCATCATGTTCCCTACAGGGGACCACAAGACAACTTCGGAGTAACTCACAGTGCCTTTCTAGAGATGCTTACATGTGGGAAATGTCCAGGTGTTATTCTCCTGTGATAGAAAGCAGTACCACAACTGATGGGCAGTTTGGTATTCAGCTGGTCCTTTGGGGAAAGCCCCAAGAGAGTCCCATCTCACCCACCTCCAGCTGTGGTTTCCTGGCAGTTAATTGCTGTGGACCTCAGTGGGGCAGCCAGTCAGATCTCAGCTGTCAGTGTCTCTGGCTTGCCACTAGCCACCAGCTAGAACATTCAAGTGTTAAAACAATAACTTATTTGCAGGGAAGTGCACTCATCTTGAACAACAAAGTATTTGCAGCACAGATGCTTTCCCAGTTGTAACAGAAACGCGTTTGCAAGCACCACCAAATACTTCCAAAGTCTAAAACCAGCACACTTCACATGATCCACCTTTATTACAGATGCGGTCACTGTGGTTTACGTACAGCATCACCAAGCTGTAAGCTCACCAGAGCTCCAGATGCTCAATGGAGCTGACTCTCTACTGAGGAGAGAACTGCAGAATGCCCAAGCCAGGAGGGGCAGGGAATGAGCAACATTCCTCACTGTGTGCCAGACAGCAACGCCTCGGCTGAGCCTCCTTGAGGACAACGTATGTCTGGACATCCAGAAAGCAGAGCCAGCACCAATCTGGGGAGCATCAGGGAGCCGCGGGGGGGGGGGCATCCACACGTGCCCTCAGCGCGTGCAGGCAGCACCGAGCTGCAGGAGGTGGCACGTGCCGACTTCAGCAGCTGCTGCAGGGGGTGAGGCGGGCTGTGCGTCGCACATGTGTTGCTCCATATGTGCCTGCTTGCCACTGAGGAGGCGGGCTGAAATGTGCACTTAATTACCAACAGATGCTTCACAGGCAGGGGAAAAGTAGAAGACCAAAACAAAGGGCACTTATCGGGGCTCCCGGCCTCAGCATGTGTCGGTCCCAGCCTCATCTTGGTGAACGAGGAGCCGCCCGCCTGGTTGCTACAGACGCTGCAGCGGCTGCGCTCTGTCCGGCACTCCCATCTGCAACAGGGGCTGAGCAGAGCCTCACGCATTCTACAGTGTGGATGTGTTTGTCTGGTCTAGAAATGGTGAGGCAGGGGAAAGGCAGGGCTGCTAGCTGGTTGGATTTTGCATGAACCAGCCTCAACCACCCAGCACAGAACACACAGGTGTGCTCAACAGGTGTGCATCGTGAAGCTTCCCAGTAACACATTCCTCATTGCTCAGTGCCAGAGTGGTAGCACTGCCCACAGCCTAAAGCTGTAAGTCAGCCTGTGTCTGCAAAGTTCTTCACGGAACCTGAAATTGGTTTATATTGCATTCAGTTCAGTGAGGAGAGCCGGGATGGAAGATTTCCTCAAGTCACATTTCCTGCTTTGGTACCATCACATTTCAGGAGGCAAAGGCTTCAGCAGCATGCGATCCAAAGGGCTGCTGAGAGCTGGCAAACAGGGAGGCACAAGCGCGGTCCCAGCATAAGGGTGACAGTGACACGCCACCAGCTCCAGAGGAACAGAGGGGACAAGGAATGGACTCAGTCAGGCTGAGGAAAAACTGTGCTTGCAGCAAAAGTAGTGGCCACTTGGCAAGCCTGGAACTTCCTCCTTCTGAGTTGCCTTGGCTTTAAGTGACAGCCACCCTAAACTGTGTGCTGTATTTAAAGTTTATTGAAACTGCATTAGGAGAGGAGGGCAGGGGCACTTGGGACAGCCCTGTGAAAGCTCTACATGCTGTGTTTACAAACCCCGTGCACTTTTTGTTTGGTTTTGGATGTGCCTTATTCCTTCCCAGCTCCCTTTTCATCTCCCAGCAGTGCCAGCCAAGCTGATGAGTGTTTATACGCCTGAATTCCTGAAGCACAGCCAGTACCTTGAACTCCAGAGAACGAGACTGAAATAACGAGGAAGGTCAGGGAAGTTCAGAACAGAGGGGCTGTTTTCCTGGCTGGGGACACCATGCTGTTCCAGACCACGTTGAGCTGCGCTGGGGACAGAAACAAAGGCTGCTCTCGGACCCTCCTGTTTATGTAACTTTCTGCGTCCCTCATCTCACTTTTAATGGGATGCATTTTCATGGACCATTTCAATGAAGGCTGCCAGTGATCAGCCTGGCTGCTGGCACCTGAAAAGCTGCCGAGGGGTTTTACTGCAGCATTCACACAGCAGGAGCAGCCTCTGCACACTGCTTTGCCCCCTTCCCCCCCACACACTGCAGCACCCAGAAATTTGCTACTGCTTTGCCCACAGAAAGAAAACTCCGAGGATGACTTTAGCACAGAGGAGGTTTCAGTCGCTGTCCTTCAGAAACATGACTAACACACTGGGGCACGTGCTGGGGACATGCAGGCCTACGCCACCAGAGTTGGGGCAGCGCAGAGCACCCATGGGTGTTCCCAGCACATTGCACACACCATGTGTCCTGCACAGTTTGCACGGCAGGCCCTGTCCCAAACACTTCCGTGTGCAGAAAGCTCCAGAGCAGTCAGAGCTAGCACGGGCACTAGGACTCACCAGGGTACAGCCTCAGATACCTGCTCTGCTTCTCCACCATGAGCTGAGGCTGCAGATGAACTGACACCGACTGCACGGATGCTGGAACCCCCTGGCAGACTCCTATCCAGCCTGCTTACAGCAATTATAGCCCCACTGAAAACAGCCCAGGGAAAACCGCAACAAAGTACGCGTGTCACTTGAAAACATTTGCAAAACACACCAAAAGAGCAGCCTTTTGCTCTCTCTGTGTCTCGATGGGACGCTGCACTTCCAAATCCCCCACGCAATGCCGTTGCCCTGCTCACATTTCGGCACAGCCTGGCTGGGAGTGACCTCCCAGCATCAGGGCAGACACGTGGTAGATACTGTTACAGACAAGTGGGATTGATGGCTTTGTCCTCAGGATGCTCCCATGGGCATCCAGGACTGGAATCTTTCTTAGTTTTCCAATGAGGTACTTCTTTTCTTTAAAAACAAAAAACAAACCAACAAAAAAGCAACACAACAGATCCCAAAGTACATTTCAAACAGCTAGCAGGTTTGGAAATCATATATACACATCCATTCTTTCGATCTGGTTTACAAGAGCACACTGTACTCTGAGGCATTCTTTGCTATCACACAGGCAGGTGTAGCAATGCCAGCCCCAGACAGATGCCTTCTATCTTCCCCTCCTACCGGACCCCCAGACAGCAGCCAGATGAAATCGCATCTCCTCGCGCCACATAGCACACTCCATTTTGGCAGTGCTGGCATCTCTAGGCTACATATATATCACATCTATTCCTGGAAGCACATCCTATAATTTGAGGACCCGTGAGGTCTGCACTGAGAAGTAACTGTGGGTCTGGCCTCATTTAGAGTACAAATCTACTATTTTTCTTCCAAAGGAATCTTGCCTTGTTTCACTTGATGGAAGGAAGCTCACACACAGGCAGCAGCCCCATTCCTTTTTCTCTCATACGGCCCTGTGTTTATTTACACACACCTTGCTCCAAACAACAGAGACCAGCCTCCTTTTTTTTTTTCCTCTGGAAAACCAACAAAGACCTTTGCGAACTTTTAAGTCAGCCTCCCATCACCTTTGTGAAGAGGCATCACTTATATTTTACAGGCAGAGAACGGAGACATCGAGAACGTAATTTCAAAAGCATACAGTGACTTCACACAGTGTAAAACATTAGGGGATGATGGTCTTCAGAGCATCTGAACTGTACATCAGGTGTTCAGAGATAACCCTGTAGGAAAAAAGTAATGTGTGCTGATGTAATCGGCACTCAGTCATGATGCAAACATGCAAAAGGCATCACAAGTTTTCATGGATACCCTTATGTTTGTCCAATTAGAATCCAAGGCTTTGCAAGCTCAGTAATTCCCTGTTCTTTAAAACTTCACCTACTAAAGTTTGCGTACTATTTATTTGCCACCTAAAACCTTGGCTGAGAAACATTTAGGTATACTGTGTGATGTATGTGTGTGTTTATTCAGAACACATCCAGATTTGCTGCAGCCCCCCAGGATTTTCAGCTCGGTTGCCAGCACTTCCAAACCTCTCCCGTGTTTATTTCTGTAACATCTCAGACATAGGCTCTGTTTTAAATTAAGAATTTAAACAACATTACTTCTCTCATTTGCTATCAATTATATCACTGCAAGGGAGAGCTGGGCTCTCTAACCTGTCTACAAATACTCTACTGACCCAACACTCACTCTTAGCATCAAATAACTCGATTTCAGACAGACACAAATACACAGCTGAGGACAGCAAACTGCACCGTAACCAAATTACACTCATTACACAATACATACCTCTGATTGCATATGGCAACAGCAAATTGTCAAAGCCAGAGAAGCCAATCCCTTTCAGCAAAGCTCCCAGCGGTATGTTTCAAAACACATCAATCACTTGGGGTTGTAACAGCCCATCGTGGCTTCCAGTCCCAAATCACACTGTGTTTAGAAACCTACTGCACTTCATAGATTCAGCTTCATGTTAGTAACTTTCCAATGTAGTTAAGAGGAACTGAGCTGTGTGACAAATTATACTAAACAATTAGCAATTATTTTTTCCATGTTAACAGGTACACGTATCACATTAAAATTATGACTAAGAGCAGACATAGTAACTTCTTCCAAACCATGAACAACCATGAATGATGTAAGGACTACCAAAGATGACCTCTTCAATGAAGTCAGATCTTAGAGCCAACACGAAAGAACACAAGAATTTTTGTTTGAATTATGCAACAGAGAAAACAGTAAAAAATAAAAAAATAATAAAAAAACCCAAACAAACCTGAACAGACATCTCACCTTGCAGAGCAGTCTCCTGCCTGTGACTTTACTCCTTCCTAGAGGAAAGTCTACGTCAGTTCTGTGATAGTCCAAAACAGCAGAAAATTCCCAAACAGGCTCTTCTCATCACAGAGCAGCAATTACAGGCTTTTCGTTTGTTTGCTTGTTGTTAATGTTGGTGAAGGTTTATTCAGTGTTACAATGCTTGCACACCGTGTATGCTTAGCTTTTTTTTCTTTTTTTCCCCCCTCACTATTCCCACAACCTTGTGATGCAAGGCTGAGGATTGTTTGTTTAAAAATAAAAGTTCCCCTGTGGCCAAAAACCCCAAAGACAGCCCATTGGTCTTGAGAACAGCTAGGTAATGCTAAGGAGCAAGGAGGAAAAAACAGGTGCTTGACAAATGTCAGTTATAATGAGGGACCCTGTGCCACATCACACCTCTCTGCTCGTGTGCAGCAGCACAGAGGGGAGGGTTTAACTCTGACACTGGAAGAAGGAAGGAACAGCCCCTGGGAAAACTCAAGAAGCCATGGAAGTGGTTTCAATCTCTTCCTCCCCTACCTCATTCTATCAGTGATGCTCATCAGTTAAGGAAGGAAGGAGCTGCCATTTCATACCTGAGCAATGAAACACTTCCTCATGCCTGGGATGCAGACGAATACCTTCACATGCCACTGGAAGAGCATTGTGTGAATAGTTCAGTACAAAACACATGGAAGAGCCATCAGCTTTGTGGCAAATCCACCTTCCTGAGGGAGAGGTGGGAGCTAAAAGGATAACAGAGCTGGAAGAAATCCAGCTTATCTTAACACACATTTCTCCATTCCGTAAAGCATTTGGGGTAGGCTTTTCAGAACAGTAATCTGAATGCTACAAGAAAGACAGCTGTTTACAGTGCAGATCTGCTGGCTGGATCTGAATGCTCAGGCCACCTGTATCACCGTAACAATGGCGCTCCTACAAGAAATGAATTGCCCCTTCCCCTCTCACTTACCACTACACACCTGGTGCATGCTGCAAATGAAAAATAAACCCTTCACAGTTCAGAGAGTGCTTATGCTTAGGGGCATACGATGCTTTATTTCAGCATATTCGTCTTGGTTACACTTAACATCCAAGTAGCACCTCTTCGGGCAGACAGCTTTCAAGTGCTTCCCAGCTACTTGCACAGAAGTTCCAAGAGGACAGCATCGAGTGCACGATCACCTCTTGTTGAGCAGGAAGGTGAGAACAAGACATGCCTATAAGGCTCCTTCAGAGTTACAGCATGTGTTTCAGGCTGAACAGTCAATCAAAAGGAAAGAGGCAGAAGTGAGAGGAGGAAGAGCCTTTAAACACATCTGGGATCAGAAGCAGAGCAGCTCACCTTGCATTCAGGAGCACATCAGGACTGCAGCATTGCACTCATAGGGCAGCATTTTCCACAGCGCTAGATCCACATCCTGCCCCAAAAGATTCTATCAGTTGGGCTCTTCCTCCTCCCAACCACAGCTGAGCTGTGCTACAATCAAAGCAAGATTCCTACTCCTTTGGCACAGAGCTTTTCCCACTGAGTTTGATGTGCCTTTTCCCCTGAGAAATGCTGCTAAGGGAAATACTTCAGGAAAATGGCAATAAAGCAAACCACAGCCCTAGGCAGACAGATGGCATTCCACAAACAGAACATGATACAGCAGAGACACTGTGGTGGGAAAAGCATGCAACAGAAAAGGGAAAAGGCACAGAAATAGTATTACATTTGGTCACTGTGATATTAGTACAGTGAAGTTAAGAACTGAGGCAATTCTAGATGAAAATTCTTCCCCAGCAACCTGTTCAGCTCTTTGCAAAATAAGATGTAGCAGCTGACTAAAAGGGGACAACAGAATGAGAAAATGGCTTGGAGTAATATCCAGGGAACTGTATTTAACAGTTCTGCAGTAACTGCTGAGTGAAGATATCAATGCTATCATGAAATAATAAGAGGAATACACAGCAAGCCCAACTTCCCATAAAGCACACTGACATCTTATTTCACCATTTCAACCACACTCCGTTAATTCAATATTCTCTTTCTGCCAGCAGTAAATATCTCACTCCCTTAGAGGAAAGGGACATTCCTTGCCATTAATCCCCAAAACAAGCACACAATGCACAGAGTGAAAAGATGCTCAGACTGGAACCTCAAAGAACAAAACTGCAATATGCACATCCATTTTAGGAACAGTTCTTTTTCCCCAGCGTAGATCACAAAACTTCCCTCATCTCCTTAAAAGTGTTCCCAGTCTTTGTCTATCTAGCACTACTTAATTCCCCAAACCAAATCAATGAGTAGAATAGCCTTGACATGAACTCCTTCTAATTTCTTGATCAATATCTCAGAATCCCACCTCTTCTATGATATATAATACAAAGAATTCATCTGTTTACATTTTTCGCATATTTTGAACTGGATCTGATCTACAAGTTCCTTTACTGCCATGTTTGGTCTTCCTGAATTTGCTGGCCTGCAAGCAGCCAAGCTACTGCTACTTTTGCCAAAACTTGTGATACCATTCTGTATTTCGTCTGAAGATTAAACACGTTTTTAATATGCTATTGTCAGTTTTCACAGTATCAATACTTCGATCTTCCAAAGGCACACACACAACAGTATACGTTTTTCACAGTCTTTTCAAGTGATAAATGTATTTTTCTCTTCACTCCAGATTACATGAAATTAACACCATTATCTTGCAGTGCAAAAATAAAAGTTGCAACCCAAGTCACTTCACTTCACTGGGAAAAAAAAAAAAAAAATTGCTTTTAAGGAATTTTTCTTTTAAAATAAAAATCTGTAGAGAATGACGCCCCAAAACAATCAACCGTGTTAAATTCACCCATCATAACTCAGATACCACTATGCAGTTACAGCTGCTTCTGTTTCCTTGTGACCTGTTGCATACCTGCTCCAAAGCAGCTTGCCACATAATTGGTGCATACAGACATGGGATAACGTGCACAGTTGTAGCTGAAAAAGGTTACAGAATGTGACACTCGGAGGAATGTAAACACACCAGAGCATTACACTGAGCAGCATGTCCCCAGGTGCACTTGCAGATGTGCACCCTCCATGCTCTCTTCCCTAACCCTCTCACTTGTTTAGTTTTAAGTATAAAAACCACAAAGACGCTGATTTACATAAAATTATCTCACTCCATTTTATTTAAGATTTTCTTCTCCAGTTAGTAAAAGAAAGGTGTGTCTCTCTTTATACATATGTACAAGTTCAGTTATAAAAATAGACAGCACATTCAAAGAGAAAAAAAGGCTTGGCATTTGTCTGATTCCCTCTAACTATCATATATACATGTGAATACAAGGGGAAGGGAGAAATCTTCGATGAGTTAATTAAACACAATCTCTCCCTCAATTATCCCCTGCAAATCTGTTTAAAAATCAATCTAACTAAGCTCAGTTCTGCTATTTTCAGGTGTGCAAATTAGAGGCAGAGCCAACAGGAAGCACTTGCTCCACACTGTAGGACGCCAGGCAAAGGATTCGGGGTTGGAAAAAAAATAAAATAATAATAATAATAAGTCATCTTCCACTGTCATAGCCCAGACCTGCAACTCATAACTTGCTTCTCTCTTGATGGATTGAAAGTGCCCTGGCAGAACAGCCTTTTAATTCAATGTGTCAGACAGAAGAACTGCCCCACACCTACATCTCAGTGCAATGCAGACAATGCTTACAGCAAAGCAAGGGCCTACAGAGGGGTTTGTGCATTGAGGAAGGAGAAGGAGCAATAGGAGAATGAGAACACAGATGGGCACTGGCAGCCCTGCTTCTATCAGCCTATGGGAGACGGCTACCAGTACCTGCACATGGCAGGGAACTCAACCAAGCTACGTCTGATGATCACAAAGATGAAGGGAAAACACACTGGAAGAACAATCAATGGATGGCTGGGATACAAGACAAATTTTCTCCCCAGGATTTGGCTGGAAAGGGGAATGGCACAGTTCTCTTTCTCAGTGCTGTTTTTCATCACTCCGCTCGCAGAGCTGCTAGCTGCAGAACCATGCTCTGCTATGGCACAGTGAGAGGAACAGCAGCAAACTCTTCCTCGGCACTGCAGCTTTCCCTCTTCTTGAGATCTGTACAAGTAGAGCCTGATTATGTTCCTGAGCCTTTACGAGCTCAGCACACCTCAAAAATGAGAAAAATCATTCTAAGTACAGTGAATGCTCACACTGGTAAGAACTCTGAAACACAAACCAAACCACTGGCTTGTGGCTTCTTCCACTGTACAAAGCAGAGGCAGTGCTGCTGCTCCCACTAGACCTGTCAGAGCTCTTCCCCTGTTCTTGACAAACTGTGCTGACAAGAATCTGCTCCCCAGAAACCCCCTGAGATACCCTCCTTTGCATTTCAAACCTTCAAGAAAACAAAAAAATAAACAAACAAACAAAAAAAACTAACCAGAGGTCCACATTAGAAGAATACAAGATTTTTTTGATCACACCATGTCCTCAGCTAGGCCCCCAGTTAGCCCCTGCACGTACACCAACCAGCTCCCAGTACAGAAATGTCTTCTGACTCTGGCATTCAGATACCGATTTCATTGAATAAAACTAAAGCTGAGTTCCACCTCAAGCTACAAGAGAGAAAATACACTGGTGTGACTTCAAGTTACACACAGCTTCGGGATTTTGCATGGAGTACCTGGATGCTTTCTCAGGAATCTCTGTCAGATATACATCATAAAACCACATCTGACACTCTCTCCAGACCCCTTTCCATCCTTCTCGCAGTGTCTGCAAAGATAATTATTTGGGATACACATAATCAAAGTGCTCACATAAACCACCCATTCCTATTGTGCTTTGATTTTCTTTTCACACAGCTGCATGACAGCACAAGGCATTCATTTGCATGCCTTCAGCTTGCAGGGTGGTCTTCTCCAATAGCCAACGCAGTTTAGACAAACTTTGGGGGTTCAAAATTACTACCGAGCACCTGAGGTGTGGGCACCTTTGCTTTGCTTCCGAATGGCAGTTTCTGATACAAGACTGCTGGTCAGGTTTAAGCTTTTGGGGGTGCCACAAACACTGTTTCCTTTGCTCAGAGGCGAACTCAAAGGAGAAGAGGCGCTTGAAGGTCCAAAATCTGCCAGTCCAGAAGGCCGAATAATTGCTGTTTGTAGAGGGCTACTTGAAGACATGCCTAGCAACAGAAGAGAATCAAATTCCTAATGAGCACATCATACCAAGTCCATGTCGCACTTCAACAACAACAAAAATAAATGGCAACAATACATTGAATAAATTGACTACCAACACTTAGTCCTAAGAGTACAACATATTCATGATTTTTGAGACTTTGATTAAGAGGGATGGCCTTAACATACACATCTTGCGTTTATACCCAGGGTCAACTGGGTTACCTAATGTAAATGCTGAAGCTCCACCACAACCCATTTAGAACATTTTGGAACCTAATGCTGTAAACTGAACATGACAGCAATACAGAAAAGCAACAGATAAACCCATGGGATAAAGAGCACTATCTCATTTGTCTGGGTGACAAAATTAAAAATGAAAGAGAAGTATTTGGTATGAGATAATTCAAATGGCAGATGAAGCTTCTGCAGGACTGTGCTTCAAAGTCCTCTGTGGTGACAATGGCTGTCCTCTCACACCGTCACAGCATTACACTGCACTCTGCCTGGATCTCAGAATATGCTGTACAAGCAACACCAGCAATCCAACGGTTTTATCTATTTTTTGACAGGCCGTACACAAGCCAACGCCCTAACGCACGTGGTTGGCTGTGCTCAGGTCTGCTGCCCCCTTTTCCCCACGTACCTTTGGAGACACTGTACCCGTACGCTGCATACGCCGCTGCAGAGGCTGCTGCCGCCCCGGCTTTGGCCCCTGCCATTGCAGCCGCGCTTCCTGCTATCGATTTCCGGCTTCTGCTCTTCCCGGTGCCCTTAGATCCAGCATTCCCTCCTTTAGGACGACCGCGGTTTCGACTTGACTGGCCTCTGCCAGTGAGAGGTGTATCTTGCACTGAAACTCCTTCATGAAAAAAGTGGTAGAACAGTAACCGCTATGGAATGTTGGATGACTCACAAGTGAATATAGCCTCGCAACTATCTCTTATCTACATTAGTGCTGTTCCTGTTAACTGATGCTGTTCATTTACATTAACACAGACGTTCAAGTTGTCATCTCATGAAAAGAAATTATATGTTCTTGAACATTCACTGATTATATTTTATTAACTCAAATTCCTCGTCATTGTTACAAATCCTACCCGCATATAGATGGAGAATTCTGAGTTCTACTTCAGGATGAAGCTTTTTTTTTTTTACTGAAGGCACATTTCATCTTTCCTTTCACTATTTGTATAGAAACTCATTAAAGAATGATGGCTTTCTTTGTTTCAGAGTAGAAAGTTATGGTAATTAGAAACTTTTACCATACTTTAAAACCATAGCTGCTTCAAACATGCCGTGGAAATAGAGAACTGATTATCAGCCCTATGGCAAATACAAGGAAAGGCTTAGGAATTAAATATTTCTGTGGTTGTCCAACATTTGGTTAAGGTGGGCCCACTATAATATCGAAAGAGGGGTAAAACTCCTAGGAGAGTAAAACAGGAAAAAGGAAATTGTAATGAATGACAGACAATAAACAGATTTCCTAACAAATCAGAAATTATTTCTCAATGATAAGGTAAATTATTTTGCGCAAATCTTGCCAATCATGGACAGAATTTAGTTCAGTTATAGAATACATGACACCTAGGCATACAAAGTAAAGTTTTAGTGCTAGTGGTAAATAAGGCATGAGTACCAACCATTTATGGTGTCTGAAACCGAGCCAGTAATGGAAGCAGGAGAGTTTGTTGCCCTCGACTGAGGTGCTGAAGAAGCTGGATCATCCACAATCACAAGCATATCATTGCTGCTCTCATCAGGAGGGATAGAGCCCATATGTAGCTCACTGCTGATGGATATCTAAACACAAGCAGAAAGAACAAAACTGTTATCTTCTCAGGTTAGGAAAAGGAAGGGAACAACCACAATAAGACACACAATCACAAGTAATTAAATAGTACATGTTCTGATTTCTCTCACTTTCTCTAACAGCATGATACATATCCTGCCTACTCACACCCTCTATTTACATGTTGAGCAGCAGTAAAAACCTCCAAGAGTTACTTAATGTCAACTGATGAATGTAAATGTTAAGAAGCAGGAAACTAATAGGTTCAGCAAAGACTTAAGAAAGCTGCTGCACAACTGTTCATTTTTCTGATTGCTAGAGAGAAAACAAAAGGACTCTTAACCTAATAGTAGTACCAAGAAAAATCTTTATCAGAAAGAGAATTAATACAACATACGAATCTCAATCAACATAGTATAGAACAAAACATATTTGTTGCCAAAAATTGTTTTCAATTCAATTCAAAAAACAGATGAAGGAAAAGAGGATGTGCACCACTGGAAATTTACAGTCTTAATTCAGGATTAAAAACACATCAATTCAGAATCAGAAGCAAGGAAGGAAGTAGAGATGAGATGCAGATGAGACTAGTGAGGAGTACTTACAAAGTACCGAAATAAGGAGGTAGTCTAGGGATATTGCTTTGCTCAGGAGCAGAAAGACTGCTCTTGCTATGGAAGGTAATGGCATAGAAGGAGGGCAAGCAGTTATAAATACAAACATAACAAAGGAAAGGGAAAGCAGGAAGATAGTGGGAGTGCAGGCAGAAATGGAGAAATTTCAGGGGATGTGAAAGGAAGAGAGTTTTATGATATTAGCTTGCTCCAAAAAAAGATAGAGAGCAAAATACAGGGGGCATAATGGTATGTTAATACAGAGGAACTACAGTGGGTAGTTTACTGTCTGCTTCAATTAATTACTTTTTCTTCCATGGCTCATCGTTAAGACATCCCACATACCTACATATTTGGACTCTGTACCAGCTGAAAAGCAAGAACTCTACAAGGTGTAAGATCACAACTGAAATAGCATATGGTTTAAAGAAGCAAAGTCCCACCTCACTGAAAGGACTGGGCATGGCAGAGTCTACACTGACAAAGGAATCATCCCCATCAGCGGACAGGTTGGAGTTATCAGCTGAGGGAACAAACGGGATCACAAGGTTCATGCCCTCTTTCTTTCTCTTCCCATCCAATTCATCCTCCTTTTTCTTCTGAAATAGATAAAACAGAAGAAAGAATAAAAATTGTAATTAAAACAGAATAAATGGAGTAAGAAAGGTAAAATTCCAACATCCAATGTAGTATCATAACTCAAGGAATGCCATGTTTAGAACTATCCAAAACAAGTTTCTGAAAGACATAAGAACAGATTTCTTTTTCTTCATAAAAAAGCTGGAATGCCACAGAATTATTCCTAGGGAATTACTTTGATTTCTACTGCCTTCTGGAATAAGCTTGAAATTCATTACCATTAATACAAAATTATTAATGCAAAATCTTCCACTCTCAAAAATACAGAATTTTCATAAACATTTTTCATAAAATAATTCATAAAATAATTTTTATAAATTCTTTAAAAACAAACAATCAAACAAAAACTAATATTCCCTCGTTCCATGCAAGCCACATAGCTGTTTGGGTTTTATCTGTATTTGGTGCTTCATTTGTATTCCATTTTCATCCTTGCAGAACAAAATTTTAATTAAGTCTCCATTTTATATGCTATAAAATGATCATTTAATTGTTGTTTGTTTTTTTTTTTCAACTTGATTCCCAAAATTGTCTGCAGGCTGCCAATGATCCGTGCTGTGTAAAAACACAGTACTTCCTTTTTTTAAGTTGCAAATGATACTAAAATATTGGAAGCTATGTGTTACATATTTTGTAACAACGGCATTCTGATTAAGAAAGTACCAGACTGATGTTCAGTGATGAAGGGAAGTCTTTACTCATTAGACAGACATTGCATAAAAATACTTCCGTGCCACATAATAGTGTGCCTGAAGCCTTTCAGGCTCTCTGTCAATGATTTAAAAAACCTCTCCTGTATCAAGATACCTTTTCAGCATATTTTTCCCTTTTACGTTTACGTTCCTTCACACGATTTGTTTCTTCTTGCTGTCGCTTCTCCTCTTGGCGCTGACGCACTGTCAGAAAAGAAACACAAGTTGTCAATGCTGAAAAGATAATTCATATCCTTTCCTGAATCTTACAAGCTCTAGTTCTTACACAGCTGTGATGAAAAGTCACCTGCAGTAAAACCAAAGCACACTGATAAACAAAAAAACTGATAAACAAAAATATATTAAAACTCTGTGTCCAAATTACTAAGAAACCTTACAGTTAAAGCAAAAGTCTTCTTTCAAACAAGTGTACCTCTGGTACAGCTTCAAAACTACAATGAAATGCAGTACTCTTTTTAATACTTTCCTTGTTGTGACCTATATAACACTTGCTAAAGCTTTGTTTTAAGGAACAACCTAATGATCCTGAATGAATGCCAATAAAAACTTGCATCATCATGTCTCTCTTGCACAACCTCATTCCTCAGCTCAGCAGTGACACAAGACCAGTTTGTACTAACAAGAGTGGTAATACAAAATAGGCCAGGAAAGATTGTAAGAAATACATGTGTTTGTAGAGATAAAAACAGGGATTTCACAGTCTAATGAAGTGGAAGATGGAGAAAATGCTGTAACATGAATTTCACGTACATTTCTTTTCTAGTTCTTCATCGTCTAGTAGAAGACTGACCACCTCTTTTGGCTTCAAAGTGTCAGGTTTGAAATTGCCACCTGAAATTACCATTCGTTGGATCTAGGGGAGAGAGAGAGGAAGAAATTACACAAAAAAGCCAGGAAATATTATCATACTCTTCATTGAAAGCCAGGCAAAAAAAAAAAAAAAAAGACAAGTACAAGTGTGTAAAGTCAAATTGATTTTAACTTCAGTCAGCGTCTCAGCTCAAGTAATTAATTCCAACTCTTATTACCTCAACTCTACTGAAAAGAAGTAAGAGGCACAACTGAGCAATAAAGCTTTTGTGTAAGTCAATTTTGATGGTTCAGATTGCCAGCAAAAAGACTGCACTTTCAGGTTGATGTCAGGTGATTAACTGCAGTATAACTATAGCAAAACGGATGAGACTGAACAAGAGAAATGCAAATGCATTCAGCTGGGGATGCTTCAGTTGCTGCAGTGTCATGATCAGCATCTAATTAAGAAAAAAAGCTAGAAGAAATCCTGAGCATACACAGCATTTAAGCCTTTCATACAGTATACCTACTGCTAACAAAAAAAGTGATTGTGAGCAATTTTTCTTGCCAGTAAAGTATCATGAGGTTTAAAGTTTCTAATACGTTCACTGCTTGATGCTGCAAGGACACTGAGCTCTTCTGGCAAACCACACACCTCAGTAACTGTCTCTTGGTTATTTTCCAAATTTCTTTAAAAAAAAACAAAAAACAAAACAGATGTGGTATGACATGGTAACATTAGAGGAATCAGTATAGCCCTGACACAGCAAAGATGCAGAGGCCTGAGTAGTTTCACTGTATCATAAGAAATAATTTCCATGAATTCATGGTGAAAATAATTAGCTTCTTCCCAGTTTATATAATGCAGCTGTAATGATGCTGTGTCTGGGACACAGATTTGTTTCCCTGCAGATATTTTTATATTTCTTTCCTGATTCTCATATGCATTTTCTGATACTGTTTCTGTACTGTATCTTCTTATTCCAGATAACTTCTTTATTCCTACCTCACTCTTTTCCTTAGCTCTTTGTAAGATTCGCTCCTCAATGGTGCCTTTACATATCAATCTGTACACAGTGACTTGTTTTGTCTGTCCCAACCTATGTGCCCGGTCCATGGCTTGCTGGTCTACTGTTGGATTCCAATCACTGTCATAGAAAATTACCTGTAAGAGAATACCAGAACAAGATGAATTAAATAAAACCATATATTTAGGGTAATTGGATATTAAACAAAAAACTAACACACCAAAAAAAAAGAGTCCCACTATATGCCTTTGAAAATGACCAGCTCACTGCAGGCTGCGTTCACTCAGCTTTGGCCAGTCTTCTAAAATCTTTTTCAATGCATCTCAAATGCATTCAAACAAATCCACACTGTCAATGTTTCAACTTTTGGTTGTTAAGTACTACAACTTAAATATTTTCTGCTTTGGAAGCACAAAACTCTCAATAAGGTGATAAAATTGTTTTATCACCTTATGAAGTCACCGGCATTCAATCAGCCTATAACCAACTACATCATGAAACCATTTTAAAGTTTTCTTTAAGAAGAAAAATCCCATCAAATCAGGATTTTTCACAAAATCCTACACAATTTTTATTTAGAACTGAATAAAGCCTAGTTTAGTCTAACTCCAGCGTTTTTACTATGAAATACTGAAATACCAAATTTGTTTTACCCTATCATTCTATAACTGCAATTTATGCACTGTAAATATAAACACAGATATGAAAATAAATTTTAGCTTGCAAAGTATTGAGAAAGCTACCCAAACACACAACTAAGAACACTCATCCAAGAAGCCTGCAAGAACACGCTAGCAATTCCATCTGTTTATTTCCTCTGTTGAAGCAACTTCAATGGAGAGAACTTTTCAACCCTGAAAATCCCACAGATAGCTTTCTTCTGATTTCTGATTTTCAGGATGACTGTTACCTGTGCTACTGATTCCTTTGCTGCTGAACCTTTAGAGTAAGCAGCCACAGAAGAAATGTATGAAAATGGTATTTGCACCTGCAGAAAGCCCAGTCATCCAACACCTTTCTAGACTGTCTAACATTCCTTCTTGCCACATACATCAGTATATCTAATGGCAACCAAAAACTGTAAACCAGGTGCCCAATATTCTAGAATTTTATCGATAAGACAACATTGCATTACAAATACAAGCAAAGTAAGTAAGGCAATTGATGCAAATAGCACTGTTAAAACAATATTGATTAGCACGGGTGTAAGAGTTCCAGCTTCTGCACAGCAACACCAATTTTCCTAGATAAACAGTGGGGCTAGGAGACATGAAATAAGCAGCCTGGGAAAAACGGTGGTTGGAGGGATATGAGAACTGAGAGCTAAAAATCAGTAAGCTTATTCATTTTGTTCTGTATTACTTTATGATACTTCACCTACCGTATCTGCAGCGGTAAGGTTAATGCCCAGCCCTCCAGCTCTTGTGCTTAACAGGAACACAAAAATGTCATTCCTGGAGAAGAAAGAGGTTAAAAAAAACACCTTAGTTTGTGTATGCTGAACAAGAAGTAACCACGGAAGTAAGTTTTTTGACCCAAGTTATCAGGGCTATTTTTATTACTTGAACTCTTCAGAACGTTTTGTGCTGCTCATAAGCAAGAGAAAAACATACAAAAAGTGAATATAAAAATCAAGACTGCTGGAACAAGCAAACATTCAGCTTGCAAAAGCAGCTTCTTATCTCTTATCAAAACAAACTATAGCTTGTTTATCTTGACCACATTGGAAATTAAGATTTGACACAGACAAAGAGTAACTTACTGTTTCACAGAACGGATCAATGTTAAAAAATAAAATAAAAAAAACTTGCACTAACACTGCTCAATTGATAAAGAAAAATTAATGCTCACACTGTCTAAGTGCAATTTTTGTTCTAATTTCGATGCTTTGAAGAGAACAAACAACTTCTGCAGAAAAAAAAATAATAATAAACTTCTATAGAAGTACGCTGGCAAATAGAGAGGTACATTATAAAAAGACAAGGGTCTATAAGCAGAAACAGATGTCCTTCAGTTGAAGGAATCAACTCTAGCCCTAACTGTGCTGCTGATTTATATTACAAGTTTTGTTCTCTTTCGTCCAGTTTTCCTACATACATACAAAATGAAGGAGACAAGCCCTATGCAGGACAACCAAGTACTGACAAAAACCCGAGTGGTAACAGTGAAATCAGGATTTCTTTTAAGGTTGTGAACCTCACTAGTGCCACTGGTACAGGGCCAGCAGCATGTACACTGTGTCTGTCTGTGCACAGGTTGGCACAAAGCAAAGAGAAGTAAAGAGGACCTCAAAGAGGTTGACATCCTTTGACGGGGCACAGCAAGAGAAGTGCTTAAGAGAAGACACTGTGCAATGCCACGTCGTTTCAGTACCACCATGTCCATACACTGATGCATGCAACATTAGTAAGGAACCAGAAGCTCCTGCTGAATAGGCAGTCTGTCCCTGAGTCCTCTAACGTGCATTTCTACCCTTGCTGGGGCAAGTAGAGGTACTGCATGCCATTGCATGCCAACAGACAGCTAAAACAATTATTTAAAGTATGAATTAAATAAATAAACTCCATCTTGAGCTGCTGGCAGCTGAGAGGAATTAAAGCCAAGCTAACCAACTCTAGACTTTATCTGTCAGGTATCCAAGCCAATGAAGCCAGCAGGTACTATTTACTACCTAGCTAATCCTTGGCCAGGAAGTCTTTTGACTCTTCCAACAATAGTGGAACATGCATACAGACAGTCACCTGAACATCCAGCTTTGAAATACTTCTGGAAATGCCATATGGAAAGGAAAGAAAGAGGACAGTGCCACAGACTACAGGAACGAATTATGGTTACATATTTGAGCACCCTGCTAGGACATCCTGCAGCATAGTTTAGTCTCACTCAGGCTTTTTTTCCTGAAAACATTCTCATAAGTAAATCATGTATAAGAGGAATTCAAATAACATTTTAATAGGAACTCTTGTTTATACTGGCTGACCTATATCTCAAAGGGATTTCCTGTCAAAATGATTATTTTTCTTTAGTTGTTCTATTCATTAATAAAAACAAATTTCTTTTTATTAATAAAAACAATTTTTTTGACTTCTCCGGTTAAAGGACCTTATAGGAAGAAGTGTCAGGATTCCAGTAGGACATCACAGCCAGCACAGAACAGGGAGAAAAGCACTGCACAGTCCTTCCACATCAGACATTGGCACACATGCTTTTCAAGTTCTATTGCTCTGAGGAGCTCCTGCAACCTTCAGCTGAGATACCCTGGGACAGTTAACACTAGAACTAGATCATGTGCTTTCACCTTGCAGCAAACCATCAGTGAACCTAACTTGTCTGAAAAACAAAAGTGACCTTCTTAAAAGCACACATCCACATTCAGGAAGGGTAACCTTACTAATAACTATGATACCAAAGTAATATCCTACCAAGCCATATTTCATGATTAAAAGGAAACTTAATAACCATAAATTCAGTTGTTCATTTTTAATGTGATTCAATGGAGACAAGGTTATGCTAAAATATTTGAACTTGTAAGATGATTACATAGCTTTCTTTCCTGATGTGCAAGTAAAAGTTGCAAGAATCCATCTTGTTTTTCTAAACTGACAGGCAGCATGTCTTACAACTTAACACTTGCTCACCCCCGCCTCCCTCTCTGTTCAAGCTTTCTTAATGAAGCCTGCTGCATTAACGATAAAATCATTTATTTACACTGCTACTCTGTGAAACATGCTTAAGTGACATGGCTCGTTTTGTACACAGCACTTCCAAAGCTCTAGCACATGCAAGATTTTCCATTTCTTTATTGTGTCAGTTCTCAGAGTACATAATAACTGAAGAATATTTTCCCTGTTCCTATTCAACTTCTTTATAAGCAATAGAATACTTGGACTGGAACAAACAATTACAAGTACACTAAAACTTGCTTCCTGTACTGTTTCACAGACGATTAATTTCTATAGGTTTAGCATCAATACAACTGACTTCTGGCCTGCAAACCATCAGGAAACTTTCAGCTAAATGAGGTCTATCAGATATTATAAAGCACAAATTATAAAGCACATTTACTTCCATTGCATCTTACACCAACTCTTTACATATACATGACTAACCACACAAACATCTATTAAAATATATTACCTGTTTTGAAAATCCGCTACCATATCCCTTCGTTCAGAAATCTTTGAAGAACCATCCAATCTCATGTAGGTATGCTTCCTATAAACCATATATTCCTGCAAAGAACACACACCAGAAAAATACAGTTGCTCTTAGAACTGCTCAGTCTTGATTATTCACCATAAAGAGGATAATAAATAAAGAAATGAAAATCAACACAATAAAAGCAGAATTGTTGCTTGGGGGGAAGAACACCTAAATGCCATTGGTAAATGCTATAAGCAATCTTACGCAAACAATACTTTATTATTTCAGAAATGAAAGCTACCCTTAATAACTTGTCAGTTTTTGTATTTCTTGTAAGGTAAGAGATGAATGATGATGTCACTTCAGAGTCGGGCCGCAGACAGTGTTGTTACAGCACTTTTTCTACAAATAAATCTATTAAGTAAATAAAAATCATTGATCTATGAAACTTATGTTCATAAAGTCTAAGCTTTTACCAATCCCTGAGCTTTCACTGTACCAATGAACCTTTTCTAACTAACCACTGGTACCTGCTGCCTGTTAATTATGAACCTCTGACCAGTGGTTTTAAAAAACCTAGTACTGCACACCAACACCTGCCCAGGCTTTATCTCAGTGATAAAGAACCCGGCAAGCAATGGAAATACTGATGTTAGCCCTCAGTAGCAGAAGTGAACCCATTACCTGGACAAAAATCAAATGGCATCAACCAGAAATGCTGTAGGCAGAAGACTTTTCCAATGAAACACATTTTTCATGCTCTAAAGTACTTAGCATTTTCTGGTAACTGTGCAACTATCAATACAATCTGAATTACACAGAAAGCTCTGCAGGCTATACATATATCCTTACTGTTTCTTTACAAATATACCCTTTGATATTTTAACACTGTGAGCCTTGGCTGACAAGGCACAACTCCTACTGGTTATATTTGTTAGATTTAACTCTACTGGTGCATGTGTTTGTTTCCTAGCTGCTGTGACTGCAAATGAAGACAGAATGGAAACAGATGGTGCTTTAGCAGCAAGAACTATTGGACTCATCTTGTTCCAAGCTTCAACATTCAGCAGATAAACTGCTGTGCAGTGTGAAGATATGGCAGTATTTGCACTCTAACGAACCCTCCTCTGATAGTACCATGCTCAGCTCTCCTTTCCACCTAGCCTTAGGGCTCCTGCTTCTCCTTCATTTTACTTCATCAGTGCAGAAGAGGTGAAAGAGCTGCCATGCTATAAGGAACCTGAGAAAAAGACTGCTGTGCTAGAGAGAAGCTTCAACATGTAGCAGATGAAAGAGAAAAGGAGGTAAATAAAATCAACAATGCTGAAGAGGCCAAAAATCACATGGTTTACCTCTACAAAGCAGGGCTTACGGGTTGTAGGATTTATGGAGCAAAGCAACAGAATTTTGAAGCAAAGAACAACTGCTTAGCCACACAGGCACTCAAACCCTAATTTATTATTGATTTATTCCACATCTACATCAGCTTTCTGCCACCAAATGAAACCACAGCAATACAGTTGTCAACTAGGCACTACGTGACCTTTTCTCCAAATCTGATCAACCCTTTTTCAATTATCACACGGGCTTTCTCTTTCCATTTCTTTCTTACTGTCTCTATGTGCATTTACACTGATCTGATATTTCAACATCTTTAGTATTCCCTCATCTCAGAATTACCACCTCTCCATCAGCATCTTCTAACCAAACTTCACAAACAGAAAACAACTTCCACTCAGTCATTTATCCTAGACCTTAGACATTTTCACTACCACACAATCTACAGAAGAACAAGCTATGAAAGTGCTCCTTGAGTCTTCAGAGCTGATACTTCTCTCAAAAACTGTTTTTTTTACTTTTGTGTTATTTCATAGTCCAGATCAAGTACTGTTACATTTTAACACAACTAATACACGTTTGGTAGCGTACAATTAATGCATCGAACTTCATTCAGAATATAATTTGAGTCCTCATCAAACATTATTCCCCCTGAAATAATTAACAATTATTCTTCCTTACAGGAAAAAACAATCATATTAAAAAAAAAAAGACAAAAAAACCCCATGACATTAATCTAAGAAGGTACAAAATAAACAACTGCCTGAAATGATGATACTGAAATTCTATTTATCTCTTTCAGCCAAAAGAAAATCTTTTTCCTCTTTGCATTTATACTTACCATTTCATAGCAGCAAAACTAACCATAGTTCTTCAGCTGAAGCTAAATCAAACAAACATTGACTTTGTAAACAATATGTTTTGTGCTCTCTGTCATGCACAGATTAAGTACAATATAATAACAGCAGTTATACTCACACCAGCAAAATACTGTTTAAAGAAACAGGATATCTTATGTTTTTACATGTAAGTAGGCTGAGGGGATGCATTCTGATATCACTGGTAAGGAAAAAAGTCTACTGTAAGAAAATCCTTGCAAAAGAGGGATTTCAGTCCTTGCTTCACTTGTAGCCTGCTTAGCTTCAATTTCCATTAAGTGGTGGGAGAAAACTAAAACAGGAGACTTGGTAGGTGGCTTATGTGAGCAACAGCGCTGAACAAGTGAAGCTGAAAACTTAGGAGGTACAATAGCAAAATGGTGTGCTCCCAAGCCTTTACAATGGAACGTAACAGAAAACAAAGAAGCATCAAACGCTCCTTTTTATGAGTTTGATGGTGTAACAGAGTGGTAACAAACCTGGACCACATCCAACATTTACCAAAAAAAAAAAAAAAAGAAAAAAAAAAGAAAAAAAAAGGGAAAGAGCTGAGATACACCATTGCAACCATGCAAGTTCTTCTTTTCTTCACAGCTTGTGATGATTTATTGCACTATTAACTGCTGACCTTAAATACACTCCTCCTCATATGAGACTGAGACAGCTATTAGGTTCAGGCTTTTCATTTGTTCTCTTCTAGTGGAGAAGACAACAGCTCAAGTAAAACACTGCTGAGGGAGCCCATGTACGTCTAGAACTAATGGCTGAAGTATCACAGGACCTTCATGTTTTATCAGGGCTGAATTACACTGCCAAATGCAAATACTGTCTTATCTGTTACATATTCAGTCAGAAAATTTTATCTCTTTGAAACTAATGAACATCAAGTTTCCTACTCAGAATTAGATAGTCATAAAAACTACTATGACTAATTCTTCATTGATAAAGGATGGAAGCATTGCAACACAAGACAATCTCTTTTTTTTTTTTTTTTTTTTTCCCCAGATCCAGAGAAAAAAACCCAAAATTTGCTGTCTTCAACAGAAGTCCAGAGAAAGAGGCACTTTTTTTTCAAAACACTGTAAGTATTACAAATAGGAAACAAAATTAATAAGCCTCTCACTGATGTCATTTCAGACTAGCTCTATAGTGACATGGCTGCTAATCAAATAGTGATTATTTTTTTTTCTTCTAAGGTAGACTGGCTGTATTTAAATATTGAGTATCACTTAGTTACTGATTTCTTTCCTATCATATATGCCAGATAACCTCTTCTTATTAATATCTATCAAACTGGAATAAAATGACAGAGGGAAACATACACAGAGCAAAGGTCTGTGAAATTACCAGCAACATTAATATAACAGAAAATTGATGATTGTTCTCACTTTTCCTTCCAATACACAGGCATCAAAAGAAACTAGAAGAAAGCAGTTCAGAACCAGCGAAAGAGGCTAATTAAGCCATGCAAAATCTCTCCACAGGACAGTGCAAACAACAAAAATTTACAAAGACTCAAGATGTAACTAAAAAATTTCATACAGAAGCCACACCTGGCTCAGAAAGCCCTCAAGCTGCAAAACACTGGACACAGAGAATAACTGTGAAGTATCACTATTCTTATACATCTTCCCCTAACCATCTGTGCTGTACACTGCTGGAAGTTTGACAACAAGTCAGACCTTCAGTCTACTTTCGTATAGCAGATCTTATTTGTTGGGTAACCCTCAGTGTAACCACTTTAAGTCAGGCTTGCTGCATTCAAATTTTTGTATTTTCTCCAAAACAGAGTTACTAAATTTGCACCTTCAGAATTTGCCTCCTGTAGGCTACAGCTCTCTTACCTCCAGTAAGTCAATCATCCGTGTCATCTGAGAGTAGATAAGAACTCTGTGCCCTTGAGATTTCAGCCTTGTCAACAGAAGATCAAGAGCATGAAGTTTTCCACTGTCGGTGATCAGACTCTCCTTGTCTAAGAAGAAATGGAAGAAAAGAAGTAATACAGTCAAAATAGCTACAAAGCAATGGTTTAAGTAAATTCTAAGTTTTGCTCGCCCTTCACAACATTATAATTCCTAAATGGCGACAGAAGAGATGGCAACATCCCTCTGGCTGACGCTCACGGTAATGCTGCTGACAGTGACTTTTGTTTGCTGGGACAGGACTACATGAACTTATCCACTTGGCAAATTGCATCACAGATTGATCTGCTCATGAGAAGGGAAACAGACGTTCTTTGGACAGTCGTTTCTCCCTTCTAAGGATCAATCCTATCCAGTTCAACAACAGTACCATATCTTTACAGTTCCCTTCCCACACAATAATGCTGTCCTTTGGACATTTGCTGCTACCCACTGCTGAGCTTTAGACTCTTTCCTCACAAACCTGATTTCAAGACCGAACTCATCACCAGCACAGAAGCTGAAAAACAGTTCTCTAGGTCACTGTAAAACAACTGCCCCTTCACAGCACTGCCTTAATTTTTACTTCTCTTTCCAGCCCTCCATCTTTTTTTTCTGTTTAAGAAACATTTCCAAACTTCAATCTTGTAAATCATTGCAGATTTTATACTTTGTGTCCTCTCTATTTCAGCACTGCTTATGAAGTATTTTTCAGGAAGGAGATCTTCCTGTTTGTACATTCTCTACATAAACTTCAGTAAACAATACATTACTGTTGAAAGAGGATGAAGAGACATTTTCTTCCAAAAAAAATTATCTGTTGGGAAAGTCACCGATCATTCTTTATTCTTTGGCACATCTGAATTTAGGTCTACAGCCAAAACAGAAAGTTGACAACTGCAAATAGTACAGGCTAGTATAGAGTCAAAATATTTTCAACGCATCCAGCAGGTAATGTTTCCCACAGTTCCAGGTGCATTGAATAAATTAACTGATAGTCTGAAGAAAATCCAGCTTCCCTTGAGGCAGCTGACAGTCTTGTACTATATTTCAAACAAACGGTATATACAAAAAATAATTTGTTCATCTGAGCACAGTGCATTTTTGTATAGCTAAAACCAACCACAAGTTTCCACGCTTGTGAAAAAGATGAATACAGAGCTGAAGTGGAGAACACTGCTCCTAAAAATGCTCATGAGCATCACATCAACAAGGCTTTTGTCCACGTGCAGTGATGTGGCACAGAGGGCTCATTTGGTTCTTGCATGTACAACCACACGGAGAAAAAGCAGACAAGAAGCTGTTCTTCTGCATAATTCAAAAGATCATTTTGAAACAACACGATAAGGTTTATGGTCATTTTATGAAAAGTTTAAAAAAAAAAAAAAAAAAGAGAAGCATTGGGAAAATAATCCTCCAGATTTCTGTGCATTTAAAAGCTTTTCCTGCAGTGAGGAGTTCTGAAACTTGATGAACTCCGATTTTTCAAAGACCAATTGGCAATACACAAGGTTTTTCTCCTGGCCAAAAGTTTTCAACAACAGAAGAGAACTTTATACTGGATACAGAGTATCCAGTAATTTATGTGAAAACCATAAAAATTGAGCATGTTTCTCTCCTTAGTTTCCTAACAGAGAAGGAAAAACTAGTGAGCCAAAGTTTTATCCAGAAACATGGTGGATTCTTCATCATTTCAGTCTTTCCAATCAAGATCTCAAGAAAAACTACATTCTTAAGTTTAAATATAAAGAATGGGCTTGATGCTGGAATTACTGGAATCTGTATCAGGCCATCAGAAGCTAAAGCCACAGAATTGTGTTCTGACACTCAAAAAATTGTGAACTATCATTGTCAGTTAGAACTATTAGTAATATATCTGCACTGTAAGATGGTGCTGTGAATGCTATCTGCCTTGCTAAGTGCATAGCTGTCCTTCTGCTTACACCAGCTAAAAATTTGAGACAGAAAAGCTCTGCTCATTTTTGCTTCACTGCCTATTTGGATGCTCACTGTTGTATTTTATTTCGTTCTCCCTTCATAAAGAAAAATCTCATCTGATGGTGATCTTGTTGCTTTGCCAGGAAGAAGTACCATATCATTACTTGAATCATTACCAACTATCTCATGGAATTCACCAACTAGAAAGCCACATCAAGTAGATACTGTAAGGAAAACTCAAGGCTACAGCTCAGGCTGGCATTTGTATTAACTACAATGGAGTGTATAATTCTGAAACCTAGAATAGAGCTCAGTCTCACCTGCATACAAATTAATACAAGTTAATAATTTTATACATTCCTCTAAGGAAACCCAAACTTTTAACTTTGGCAGTTAGATAAAATAGAAATGAGTTACTCTCCTTACTCTTTACGCTAAATGTTATTCTTCCTATCAAATCAAAGTCATGACATTTTGATTTTATTCAAATTGCTCAACCTGCTATTTCAGAATGAATTAAATAGACCTAAGTAACACGAAAAGTCTAGATATGCTTGCCAAAATAACATGATCATTAACCAAAAGCCATTTGTCTGAAAGGAAACTGAGAGAACCGGGTTTGTTCACAAGTCCATCTAGACTAACTCATACATCACATTTCCAGAAGTAAAAAGCTACTGTTTTTCTACAACAAGCATGATAGGTAGAACTAAGTTTTGCGAAATGGAAATGATGCATATCCTTTGCTACTGGCTCCTTAATATTCCATTACATAAGTAGCTATTTTCGAGTTGCACTAGAATGCAAATTAAAAGAATTGATTTACAGATGGTTTTACAGTCTGAAAAGCTAGTTAACAGTTCATAATTTGTCTAACATCTCAGCATCTGAGCAGACCGCACTGATGAGAAAGCTTTTTCAGGATAGCAAAACAAAACCAACAACAAAAAAAAAAAGATCTGTCATCTTTGGAAGAGAAAACCGTATGACTACAAGCCTGGCAACTTCACTGCGCTATCTCAATATCGCTGTTTTCCAAAGTCATGTTTTCACGTGCTTAAAGCCTGCCACCTAGTGCTTCAAAGGACAGACTGTGCAAAGTCCTAACAAAAAGCGTAATATTTTTTTGCCCCATGGTTGGAAAACATCTCAATTATTTTAAAGTGTCTTCCATCTCTAGTTTTTCCCATTGCTATTTCTCACTTCCTTTTACCCTGGCGAAAGAAAGTGGCCACTTTTATTAAATAGCATTTTCAAAATTCGCAGTTCTACAGTTTTAATAATCAGTGAAAGCTTTCAACAACAATGTATTCTGATATACATATTAATAGCATAAGCAAATGAACTTATAAAATTTTGAACCAGTCAGGTGATGAGATCCTGGATTACACTTCAAAGAATGATTCTTAAGGCACATTTTTTTGGGTTCTTCTTTAGCACTGTATGACAGACACTAAACAACGAAAGGACAGCAACTGTAAAATTCTACTCTGTGGCTTTCCGTTTGAAAAAAAGCTCCTGCCTCCAGCTGTGGACAATAACTATCAACAAGGAGATACTTTGGGTTCCTATGGCCTGGGAAGAACAGCTAGAAATGATTATGACTCAAAATAACCCCAGTCAGGAGAACTGGCTTATGACTGCAGCTGGGCTCATTGCTCTCTGAAGAATAAGAAAAAGTGCCTCTGGACATGCAAAATGCAGAGGAAAGAGAGATAAAGCCTGGGTTCCAGTTGACACCCCTGGATCCCCTCCCGACAGTCTGTGCAGCACAATGGGGTCAGTGAGGAGCTGGCTGGCTCTCACAGTAAACAGCCAGTGAGGCCGGTGCTTTTTATCGATGCTAAAAGGACTCAGACACTTCCTGCCATTTAATCCAGGACCATTTTTCTTTCAAAGAACAGGAAAAGCCTCAAGAGATTCCCACAGTGATCGCAGCTGAGCCCGCTGCTAGGGCACTGGGAATGCCGAGGCTGGAAGAGGATAGATCAGGGTTAGGACAGAGAGGTTTCCCCTTTGCTCCTGTCACCTATTTACCATGGACCTTCACACCCATGCCTCCCATTTTACACTCGCTGGTCTTCAGCATTATAAATGGTTTTTCAGGCTATCAGTCACTTTCTGGAGTGCACCGTGCCTGCTTTTGCATGTATAAACACAGAAGTCCTGCTGTAGTATGTGCCCTCTTCTCTTAGAGTAGGTTTAGATTTGAATGCGTCTTTCCACCTAATTAAAACACAGCTGTACAAAACCACTTTTTTCATCTACTTTTAGCACTACACCTCCCAGATTAAATCAGCTACACAAACAAATCCTTTGTTGAGCTTGGACAGCAATTTGTTGAATTTTGTACCTATTCACTCACTCCTGTAAGATTCTTGTTTCCCCATCATTATTCTTCTACACATTTTTGCTGCTGACAAAGCTCTCAGTCTCTTCACGAGAAAGCAGCCCTCTCCCTAATTCTACATCATCCTCTTCATTTCTGTCCATGATTTCTATCTTAATGTATCCCTTAATTAGTTCCTCATCTTCTAATTCTAAATAACTGGTAAATGATTCCATGAATTCCTGAAGAAAGGAAACTATTAAATCAATAACTAAATGTTAATCAAGTGCAAACTCATGAAAAAAAGTTTCTCTATTACATAGGAACAAATGTGCGTGTTCTTCAAATGACTCTATGTACTTAGGATGTACTTTCTTAAACCGGACTCTAGCAAGCAAAAGGCCATTCTCCTTTTACTGTACTAACTTCCCCTGCCAAACATCCTTGACCCAAAAGGGTCTGGGAATAACTTAGGATCTGGCAGTGTAAGCTGTTTTTCCTCTTGGCTATCTCTCAGATCTCTAGTGCTTTTTGCAGTACTTGCTCGCTGCTCAGGACCATCTTCTGACAACTAGACCATGCCCAGTGCCCAAGTCACTGTAGTATCAGCAATCAAATTCTAGTAAATCTTGAATTATTTTAGCCTAATTGAATTAATTTAGCCTAAGGAAAATTGACATGCGCTTACATTTACATTTCTCATTTTACTAGGAAATATGAACAAGTTTTCTTTATTTCAACTCAACAAGTCCTGCATGCCTTGTTTCCCAGGAAAACTTCATCTGAACTAGGTCCCTGCATCCGTTCCACTCATGGTGAACTGTGACAAGTACTTTTTATCCTTCCATTACCAAGACCAACAAAATATCTCAGATCAGTACAAAGGTCTTCCAACATATTAGGAGGTAAAACATGATCAAAACTTTTCCTGCAATATCTCTATCTCCAACCTCAAACTACTGTCTGGGTCATGAGAGTACCGTGGTTCATTTAGCGAACCCACCTCTTCACAGACACTTTGAGGACTGACATGCAAAGAGAGGTTTGTAAGCATTAGAAAAGCTTGTACTAGACTTGTTCAGTCTCCATTGACAGCTTTACTGCTCACAGAGGATGTGCAATCACAGTGCAATTTAAGATACCAGAGTTAACTTTCACTCAAGAGGAGCAAACAAAACCACACAAAAATCGTAAGCAAGCAGCATGACGACTAAAGAATAGATGGCCTTTACCTAGCTCTATTCCATGACAAGATCCAAACTCACCTGGTATCCTGATGAAAGACCAGCCGTTCTGAGGCCTGATCCCCAACAGTCCTCCTGGATATTCTGGGAAGAACTGGGAGCTTTGTTTCTGCCAGTCAGCTGCTAGCTCAGGGGCTCCATTGACTAAACACTGCTTTGCTTCAAGACTTCCTCCTTCCCTTAGTGCTCTGCGCTCGTATTCTGCACTTCGATCATTGCAATAGAACTCCAGTGGCACAGCTGTTACCTGCAAGTAAAAATGTAATCAACATTCTTGTTCAAATTGTCCTTCATCCTCATCCCCAAATCCCATCTCAGTTACCTTCTCACTGGTTCAAGTTTTAAAAAGCCACATCATTTCTGACACGTATAAATGTAAAACAACATTAAGCCAGTTTAAAATAAGGAAAGATGGAGCATCTTCCCTCCCTACAAAAAGCCCCATGAACAATCAGGCATGGACTATTTGTCTTTTGATACACACTGTCTTGTATCAATTGCTATACAACTGATAGCAAAACTGACAGTAAAAGAAAAATATTCTTGCTGCATCTTTCATTTTGCCTTGTTTTTTTTTGTTCTTTTTTTTTTTGCTCTTCACAATGAAGCATTCACATAGCAAATACGAAATCTACAAACTGGCCTCAACAGAAATTCATGTGATAATTTAAGACTATCAAGAGACTTATTAATATGTTGTAAGATCACTTAAAAAGTAAACCATAATTCAGTATTACACAGTTAACCTTACAGTGTGGGATTAAACCAGAAAAAAGTATAAATTTGCAGTACTTTGTAAGTTACCTGACAGCAAAGTCATTGTTGCTATTTCAAGAAATAAAACTAAAAAAACATTTTCCAGGTAGATTCAGCTACACTGCAAACATTCTCATGAATCCTAATACTCTGGAAAATGAACACATTACGCAGGGACAAAAAGCAATGAAACGCACAAAAGAACAGAAGAAATCAAAGCTTTGAAAATCTTCACATTTTAAGATGGAGACAGAGCTGCATAGTAAGAAATACTAGGGGAATCTGTAGGTTTGATGTTAAACAGCAAGCAGCTGAGCCTTCTGAAGAATTGAGAACATGTGGCAACAGGTTTCATAATGGGACAATTGAAACCTGAAATACAGTGGAAGAATTATCTTATAGCTGTCTGATATCTTAGATGCTGCCTACTCCTCTCTGGACATTTACCAGCTAACTGAAAATAGGAGATACAAAACAAGATCTTTCTGATAGAAACCTATGGTCTTTTCATAAGAATAAATTTGTTTCATGAACAGATTTATCTTTGCAAGTACCAACGGCTTGTTTAAACAGATTTGTAAGTACAATTTGGGGACATACTGAAACAAAAACCAGAAAGGCATACAAAATCTTAGCAGTAATTGCTAAGCCATTGTTTTGCAAGATGCCAAAAGCTGTTTTTAAATCAAACTGTCTGGTAAATTGCATGCAAAGTGAACGGGACTTCACTAAGTAAGGCTTTGTACGCATTTCCACCACTTGGTGCTGGGGTTGATGCTATCTTGCACTGCCACCTGCAGTCCAAGCATGGCACTGTCTCCTGTGCAAGAGTGCAAAATCTCTCACAGTTCCAAATTCAATTTTTGTTGCCTCAGCACTACTGTCCTCTGCAAACTATGGCAGAGATTGGTATTGTTTCTTTTAAGGGACACTTTTCAGTTTCTATTTCTACGGAGGATAAACTAGAACATTCCTTCAAGCAATACCTTCCCTAAAGGAAGCACTGCTAGGAGACAGCCTTGAGATAAACTCTGCGTACCTCAACTTTTTGTGATTGAGCACTACCTGTAATCAGGCAAATAGCCTCCTATAGAAGGGAAATTACTCTGCCAAATCACCCTCACCAATACCTCCTCCCCACCCCCTACCCAGAATTGCTGCTCCATAAACACATGCTCCTATTTCTTTCGCTCCATTAACATCTCAAAATTCATCACAGGTCAAACAACAGGAGGCTATAGTTTCTGAGAACATGTCCTTTTTGCTATTTCAAGTCTTGTACACTCCTGCCAAAAGTTTCCAACAAACACATAAGTCTTTGTATTCCTACAAACAAAATGTAATGCTTTCATTTCATCATTTTGCTACACTAGCCAATTAAAACAAGCACCTTTATTCACAAGAATAAGCATCAGATATGATCTTTCTTCACCCTTCCCTGCAAACCTGGCCTTCTAAACCTGTTTCTCCCTTTCCCAATATTTAGGTAGCATTCCACACATTCTTCAGAAGTAACTCAACTTTAAGCACAAAGAGTGACAAATCTTTTTCTTGGAAATCTGAAGGAATTTAAAGGAAAAGGGAGTAACTGCTTGTCATCAAACCAGGCAGTATGTTGTGACTGTACTGACATGTAACTTTGAAAAACTCAGTTATAGTTCTGGCCCTTAGGACTGCAGGCACAGATGAATTCAACCCAAGGAACACACAGGTGGGAAGCACAGACCTAACAGCCATCCTCCCTTCTCCAGATGCCAACGTATAAATATATACACAGCCATATTTCGATCAAGCTGTATCAATAACATCAACGCTGATTAAAGAATGTAACATTTGGATAGTCTGGTAATGAGTCTTCTACTACTAAACTGCTTTTGTATCATCATAAACAGTATTAAGACGCCTCAAAATAATAGGGCTTTTATTGGCCTGTTACTGCTTCAAAGTAACTTGAAGCAGGTGTCTGCCTTCATTCTAAGCCCCACTGATGCTTGTTGTTCACTTATAGTAGGATTCTTCCTCAAGAGCAGAAGGCTGATGGAGAGAAGTCTTGGTTATCTGATAGTGTACAGAAAAAAGCATTGGAACTGTAAGATTGATTTCCTACAGGAAAAAGAAAGGGTTTGTTTGTTGTTGTTTTTTTTCTTTTCTTCCCTTTTATTTGATCATGAAGCAATACAAGATAAGGTGTGGTATCAACTATTGTTAGTTGGAGATATCATCTATATGATTTCATTCACCAACTTAAGTGGAGAAGAGTAAAGAACTATGTGGCAGAGAATAAGTAATCTAGAGACACAACTTCTCAAATTAACTACATACTGCCTACTTGGTGGAGCACAGCTTCAGCTTTCTTATCTTAAGCACGACCAAGGATGTGCCCAGCAGCCAACGACTTCTATGGAACTTTACCTCTGTAACTCACTCAGCATGCTATAAAACCCAGCACAGTGGCATCTACTGCATGTTTATCTCACTTTCAGCTGTTTCCTCAAAACTGATGTTCATCCATGCGATTAAGAGAAACATTTGGTGATTTATCTTTTAACAAGAGCATAGGTCAGAACCTCCTTTTTCACAAAAGGTCATTCTGAAGGTGGAAACTCTCTACAGATATGCTTATCTACTATGATGACAAATGGTAGATTCAAGCCCAGATTTGAATCTGAAGTACATTTTGTCAAGCTTTGCCAAGATCCAGCAACACAATAGCCACAGACTTCTGAAGGTCCCCCATGTCAGCCCAGAAATCTTCAGCTAAAGTAATTCCAAAATTCAGTTACTATTTGATAGACAATCCCAAGCAGTACCATTTGATAATATCCAGAAGACCTTAAACTTTCTACTCAGTCCTTTTATACTACTATTTGGTATTTCTTTTTAGAGCACAAGCTGATGCAACAAGATAAACTCAGTGTCCTTTTCAAAAAAGCATTACTTCTCAGCTCCCTTTTACATGAGAATTCACCATTCCATTCATATCATACCTACACTTCCCTTAGATTATATGGGAAGAATCTACCTCACAATCTTTTTCTACAATTTTACAGTTTTTGTTATTAGGAGAGAAAGTGAAATCTATGTATGTCACAAGAACTTGTTTGGGTGCATCTCCCAACTTTCCTTTTCCCTTCAATAGCCACTGCAGTCACTTCCTCTATGAAAAAAGCACTATAGAATACAGTAGCAAAAGGATATCCTCACAGTTTTACCCAACCAAAAGAAAGCAATAGATCATCCTGTTCCTGTGACACAATTCTAACAAGATTTAAAACACAATAGAAAATACATAATTTATAACTTCACTTGGACTTACCCGTGGACTGGCTATGCACAGGAAGGACGGCAGCTCAGTCACCTGGCAGCACCGTACACATGAGGTAGCTGATCTCCTTCGATGTATGACATGATCTGAATAGCCAGTAACTGCTTTACAGTGGCTACTGAACACAAGGTTCTAAAAACAAAATTAAAATTGAGAAGTTATTACGTTTCTAATCAAAAACTCCTCTCAGATCCTGTAATCACCTATGACAAAGACAGAAAAAGAACACTCCAAGTATTTTGCTTGGAAAGAGGGAACTCTACACATCTGCAGTGACAATGTACAAGATCTCCGAGCAACATCACAACATTCTAATACAGAAATGCCTCAAATCAGCATAGCTCATATCCATATTTATCTTTACATTCAGCTGGAACTAAAAACCATTTTTTTTCCTGCTTTTTTGAATCCTCTGATCTTGGCTTTTATAATGAAGGAATATTCCAGTAGAATAACTCTCAAGCTATTTTCTAGCTGCTTCTTTATTTATTCTGAAGTATGGGAAAAATGAAATCTGGCACAGAAGATGACACTACATTACACTGGACAATCTTTAGACATTCATTTTTTCCAACTTTTTCTTCCCTTCCAGTGCAAAAAGGCTCTGAACATTATCCCCAAAACTTTCCTGGTGTTGCACAATTACTGACACATGAACACACCAATGTGTAAAACTTGGAATTTGCAAGAGGATTGATGTCCTTTTGATATAGAACAATATACTGACTGCCCCTGCTGACAAGTGGGAACCATTCAGTCAACACTAAAGTTTAAATCAAGGACAGCTCTTTGAAGATGCCCAACTATAGAGAAAAATAACAGACAACAAAACTAGATTTTCTTTGTGTGCATCAGTTATATTTCCTTTATCAATGTTAATATCTGCATCAAATGATGAAATTAATCGATTATAGACTAAGCAATTTCTGCTACTTTGTTTTTATTCTAGCTCTTCTACACTCTTACCAACCAATAGTTATACCCAATGTAATCACAGTAACAAGAACATGAGATCATTATTCTGAATGCTACAGGAAACAAGCAACAAAAAACAAACATTAAGAAGGAAACTTCTTGCTGCTGTTAGATCACAGAACCTGCCCTTCAGACAATTCTAGCAGTTCACTTAAGTAAAATGTGAACAGCACCAAAAGCTTCAACATTATTCTGCCCCAGATCCTACTGCACCAAAATTCACCACATTCTACTTCTAATCGACAGGAACTCCCAATTTTCTAAAATTCCAGTGTCTGAAACCCTACACATCAAGCCGTACTTCGGAAAGTTTATATCCAGAGTATCTCAAAAACGTTAGAAAACATCCAAATAGCCACAGCAGTACCCCAGCATGGACATTCCTGGCCCTATTTCCAGATGCTGATGCATTGAACGAGAAGCAGATGGTTAGCATACAGGTGACTCCACTTGTCCACATCAATACACCATCAGCAGATCTTTACATTGATTGGGTTAGTTCACAGTTCAAAAGAAGAAAACAAAAGAAAGTAGTGTAATAAGAATTACACTAAATGAAAGAGAGATAAGTAGAATAATTTGGAACATCCTGACATAGGAGATAACTTGCTTTACTGTTCATAAGTGCTCTGATCACCTATGAAATACAAACAACCCTAGCACATAAGCTGATCTTTCAGCTGTTACCAGTGGGACTTGCGATCAAGCAAAAAGTTCCAACTCTAACTGAATATCTGCTAACATAATATCTGTATGGAAGATGTCTGAAAAGGCTGATGGTAGACACTGACACTCAGCAGGGCAAAAAAGCCCTGGTCAAAGCTTGATCCACATGGGATAACATCATCCTAAGCAGGCTCTTACTTAGCTGCAACTCTTTATAAGTAGCACTATCTTAAGCAGAAATTGCTTCACATATTCACTCCCACATCTAACAGAGCCCCTTCTGCTTGTTGGCATAACTGCATGTTCAGAAGTGAATCAAGATGAAAATAAACCCTTGCTCGCCCACTCCATGTTAGTTCTGTGATCCTTCCCATCAGCTAGTAAAGCAGACTGTGCTGAAATAGCATAGTGCACAGTGCAGGGCTGGGGATACACAGCTGTGGACAACTTACACATGTGAGTACCAAAAATTCAGCTACATATAAAATCAGAGAACAAATTCAGCAGACAGAAAATAGTCGCAGCTGGCTCACTCAGGTATCTGAGTGCAAGGGCACATATCAGAGGAGGCAGGATCCAGCAGCTAGAGTAAAGAAATGAAAACAAGGGTCACAGAAGAGTGGCTTCTCTTAGCAACAGCAAGCTATTAGTCAGACTCCGAAGAGCTTCTTTAGGTTAAAGTTCATTTCCTCCCTGGCCCATATACAGGAGGTATAGCTGGTATTAGAAATACACAGGAAGAAGCAAAGAAAAAACTTCCAAGAAGGTATCCAAAATAAAAGTATTATTTTTACAAGCAGACAATATTAGAAGCAGCTCTTGTACAGTGGAAACCAGCTTGCCATCGGTCACCAATGTGAAAAAGCCTGGATAAGGTTACAGAGCAGAACAGAAGCATGGCTCTAAAATGGCAGTACAACAAAGCTAAGCACACACACAGAGGAGTGTTAAAACAAATATGCATGTATGTGTCTACTGTAACCAAGCAATCACAGTAATTGCTGAAAGAGGCTTTCCTATCTAGCAGACGGCAGCAAACAAATATGGGATATGGCTACCAGCACTGTCCTAAGCTCATTAACATCCCTAAGATTTTACACAAAGAAAACGAGGAAAGCAAAGGAGAAAAGGGCTCATATGAACAGATCAGATTTCATATTAATTTCAGTCAACACATACAAATCAATACACATGTGGAGATGCTAAGGGGAATGAACAGACAACACTGCAAGGGACTTCTGTGCTTATGTGAAAAAATTCATACCATCTTTAGACAGATGTTACTTCAATTTTAGATTGAACCATTAAAAAAAAGGTTTGTTTTTTTTTGTCTACTGACTTATTTTCATAGTTTGCGTCTTACATAGGAAATGCTGACCTGAGCAGTTAAGAAAAGCCTTTCCAGATTTATACCATTTCCTTTTTCCTCTGTTTCTTCCCTCCCCACTCCCTGTATGTTACTATCTTGCAAAGCCCTAGATGAAGCCTCTGGGAGTTTTACATGAAAAATTTCTCAAATTTGGGCCAAGTTTTAAAAAAAGTGTCCTGTTAAAAGAAAGAAACATGAAGGACTACTTGTTTTTCTATACCAACTTTCGTTTTGCACATTTTTAAGAAGCTCTATACATAAGCCATCTGGAAAATTCTGCAAAGGTAACTTATTTTAAAGTGATCTCAAGTAGTAATTTCTCCATAATAAGGTTAGAAAACTTCTAAGGAATCCTTCATAACTGTAAGGCTAAACTTCCTTTCTCCTTACTGGGGCTATCACAAATGTGCTGTACTGCACAAGCTTATGAACTTTACTCCCCAGCTGGTTGTTTTTCTGTGAAACACGATTTATGACAGTCGCAGCCCTGGGAACCCCAGAGACACCAGTAAGAGCTTCATGAATCAATCCAAATGATTTATTTGCAGAAACAAAATCACACATCTAAGACCTTCCAGACTGTGGTACAGGTGAGTCTCAAGTCTATCCACTTATTTTTCATTCCATTCTTAGTATTAAAAGCTAGATATGCATATTCCACATCTATAATGTAAGCCCACCTTCTGCTTTGTAAGAAACTATAACAGTTTTTATTTCAACACTTACATATGCTAACCCAATGGATTAATTATGGCCTACAATGACATCATCTACTTTCCTTCTGTTAGGCTGCAACGTTTTCCACAACACACAAGTTTTCCTTGGCCATACTCAAGAGAGGACAGAGCTACAGAATAGTTTCAGAGATACAAACAATACACAGACAGTACTCAAATGGCTAAATACAACTTAAAAAAATATTTTGCAAGCAAATCCTCAGTTCAGACATTTTATCATGCTAGATAGGGAATCACAGAATATTTAAACACCAGTACAGGCAGAGTTAATTGGCACACACACTCACTTGGCTTGATCTTTGTTTGATAACTAGGAGAGCTCATTTTATTGGCTTTGCTGTTAACGATGCAAAACATGACACCAGGCTCAAGGTTGGTTTCCTACTGCTTACATGTCTTCAATTTCAACTTCCTCCACACGCTATTCAATTGAATTCTGGCTATCTCCTTTCCCCTTGCAGACTCATGAAGTGAAGCAATATTCCCCAGAGAAATGTGGCAAGATCTCATTGTTTCAGAAAAGATTTTTTCACTGCAAATATAACTGCCACTAAAGGAGAATTTCAGCTATATGCTAGCTGGTTTCCTGACCCTAATGCTAATCTTTCTTTGATTTTATTTTCCAATGAAACAACTTGATGGAATTATAACTCAAGAAATCAACAACTAGATCGTGACAAAACATTCACCCACATCCTAGAGTAAGGCTTAGAGAAAATGATCTTGCATTACACAGTAAAATGAACACATTTGTAATCTACTAGCCAGCAACAGAAACAAATGTCAGAGTAGAAAGATGACCATCGATAATGCCTGTCTACCAGCTCCAAAACATTGCTAGACTGAATGAAGCCTCCAACTATCCCAGTTGCTGCAACAATGTACTGAATTTGAGAAACAGTAGTTTCAGTTAGTTACAAAAAACTTGCAAGCTTACACATAGAATCTGCCTCCAACAAATGAAGAGCTTAGTTCAGCTATTCCAATAATATTTTTAAGACTTCTAATCGACTAATTTATTTTTATGTAGCAAGTTTTTAAATGTATTGCTATACAAGAGGAAGACAGAAGTCAAGCTATTTTTCTGTTCAGCACTCTGAACTTCATCTAGGAGAGAGAACTAATAAAGTTATCTTGTTTCTAATTTTATGTTTCCTTCTGTTTTGTAACAATAAGAAGTTCTCACCATTCTTCCCTCATGGGGATTTGCTTACATCTCCACTTTGCTTACCTGCAGCAAAGTGCAGCTGTGCAAGTTAGGGAAAGACAGTGGGAAATTTACATCAAGCAAGAAATCCTTGTTCTTGAGACAGTGTGAGCCCTGCTGTTTCTCTCTTTCTGGTTCCATCCAGGAGCGCAAATGATGGAGCCTGTAGGAGGCTTTCAGAGACAGGAAAAGAGCTAACCATCTGAAACAAACCACAGCAGACACATTTATTCACTATTTTGTGAAACAAAAGCTTGAATATATTTAACAACAATAATTTCACAACTGGTTTTTGTTTTTTTCCCAGAAATTTAGGCTGACAGTGTTCTGGCTTGAGGGCAATCATTTTCACTAGACATCTGCCAATTATACTATTCTTATTTTTATTTTTTCTAAAATGGCTTAAATTGAACCCAAATGATGAAATTAGAATACACTTGGAAGTGTACTTGGAAGTACACTTCATTTAAAAGGGTCAAGTCCAAGTTAGCCACTACTTCCAAAAATTGCATTCTGACTTCTCTGTAAATTATTCCATGTATGTATTGCTCACAGCAACCTGTATAACAAATGCAGAATTTATCACAAAGATCAGAGAAATTTGTACTGCTACTAAAACACAGGTGAAAAACCAGGTGTCCAAAATAACTGCAACAATAAGAGACTAAAACAAAGCCCTAAAGAAAACACCTTCATTTATTCATATATTCTTGCTTTTTATCTTAAAATTCTTACAGCCACTACTAAATGTCAGCCATAGTACTGTCACTTATGGAATACACCATCTTAAACAGATTCACTTCCCTTTCCAAGTCAAGACAGCTCAAAATGTTAAAAATCCACCATTCTCAGCCTGTACCATGGAATTCAAATTTATATTAAAAACAGGACACGTGGAGAAGAGACAATATGAACTGGAGTTGACGAACAACTATCACAGTGCAAGCCTATTCCACATATGTTAAATATACATTCAAGTACAACTGATGAGCATTACAGCAAAATGTTCTTTAGAAGTCTGGATTTTGTACTTCATAATGCCAACAACCTACAGCGTGATCCTAAGCAGAAGTATCTTAACAACATCTGTATTTTTCCTATAATTATTAAGAGAGGGAAAAATGTCCTCACCTGGCTAAATGTCCCTGATTCATGAGGTTTGCCATTTCTGCTGGCGAGACATCAATAAACCGGAGGAAAGAGAAACAGCTTTCTTCATTGATGCCTGTGTCACAGAAATACTGAAGTTAGGCCAGGACATATTACAGACACCCAACAATGTGTGCTAAAAACAATGAATACACTTCAACTGTGGTAAACTCCATTAAAGATACACATTCTCTAATACAGAAGATCTGAGTGAATAAACAGGAGATCCTAATTTAACCCAGATCTCTTAGAAATTCTGAAAAATACATTTTAATTGCTGTTTCCCAATTCCAAGTTACAGTTCATTTTCCAGTCTGGGCAAGAGAAGCATATTTACAAAGACAGAAAAACGTGCTATCAGTAAAGACATTTATTTGACCTACAAGGAATCAGCAGGCAGTTGTGCATTTGCTAGTGTGACCACAAATCTCCCAGAGAGCTAACCAGAACATACACTCTGAAGGACAGTCTGCCAAACATACTCCCTCTCACCCAACCAGTGAGTCAAACATGTTGGATGGAGATGTAGGAACCGGTACAGGAAAGTGAGTGAGTACAAGGATAAGGATGCAACAGGTACAGTGGAGAGCAGGGAAGACATGTCCCACTGTTAATTAATAAAGCTTTTCAGGTCCATCTATGTGACCTTTATTTCCAACATTATTCATGTACTTTTATGCAACTTTTTATGGAGTTACAGCATCGGTGCATAAAGGAAGAGCAACAGACACATCTGCAAAGCGTTTGACACTGTTCCACATAACACCCTGGTCACCAATCTGAGAAAAATGGATTTGATGGATGGACGACTCGCTAGATAAGGAATTGGCTGGATGGTCTCAGTCAGAGAGTTGTGGTCAGTGGCTCAGTGTCCAAGAGGAGAGAGGTGATGAGTGGCATTCCTCAGGGATCACTGTTGGGACCGGTGTTATTTTATATTTTTGTAGGTAACATGGACAATAGGATTGAGTGCACCCTCCGCAAGTTTGCAGATGACACCAAGCTAAGTGGTGCAGTTGACATGCTAGAGGGAAGGGATGCTATCCGTAGGGGCCTGGACAGGCTTGAGAGGTGGGCTCATGCCAATCTAATGAAGTTCAACAGGTCAAGTGCAAGGTCCTGCACGTGGGTTGGGGCTATCCCAAGCACAGACAAAGGTTGGGTAGGAAATGGTCTGAGAACAGTCTTGAGAAGGATTTGGGAGTGTTGGTTGATGAAAAATTCAACATTGAGCCAGCAATGTACGCTTCCAGCCCAGAAGGCCAACCATATCCCGGGTTGCATCAAGATAAGTGTGACCAGCAGGTTGAGGGAGGTGATTCTGTCCCTCTGCTCTTATGAGACCCCAGCCAGAGTACTGCACCAAGTTCTGGGGCTCCCAGCACACAAAGGACATGGAGCTGTTGGAGCTGCTGGAGGACCTTCCCTACGAGGACAGGCTGAGAGAGCTGGGGTTTTCAGTCTGGAAAAGAGAAGGCCCCAGTGGACCTTATAGTGGCCTCCCAGCACCTGAAAAGAGTCTACAGGAAAGCTGGGGAGGGACTTTTTAGAAGGGCATGTAGTGACAGAATGAGGGGAAAAAGTTTTAAACTGGAGGAGGGTAGATTCAGACTAGACAGTATGAAGAAATTCTTTACTGTGAGGGTGGTGAGACACTGGAGAAGGTTGCCCAATGAGGCTGCAGATGCCCCCTCCCTGGAAGTATTCAAGGCCAGGCTGGATGGAGCTCTGAGCAGCCTGGTCTAGTAGGAGGTGTCCCTGCCTATAGCAGGGAGGTTGGAACTAGATCTTAAAGGTCCCTTCCAACCCAACCCATTCTATGATTCTATGTTTAACTTCTACACAAAAAATTATATATCCAAAATAATTTTCCCTTTATGGTACCTGAGAAAAAGCCTATTATGAATATCAAATAAGCCTAATACAAATATCATTACACCAGAATAATTAGTAAGACACTCCAAATCTAGGGAGTTATAGATGAGTGCAGACTGTTTTTGCTGCACCTGGTTCTTCTTATTTGAAAAGTTTTGCATGACTAAGTAGGTCCACACTAACAGACTTCAGCAGAGTTATACAGCCAGGATCTCTTCTGCTTTTTTCTCCTAAAACTTTCCCCACTTGAGAAGCTGAGCAATCTAGCTCACTCCTTATAGTAAAAAATATTCACTCTTCTATAATGACAAACTGTATTTATCAATATTAACTGATTATTTAGTTTTCTGTTTCTCAGTTAGATCCCAGGTCATATGCATTCTCCTACTTCTTACTTGAAATAAATTAGCAGTGTAACACACACTACAGATTGTACTAAAATGAATCCAAGATTTCGCTGAATTCTCACATTAAACTGAAGAGGCAGCATTAATCCACTAAAGTAACCTTAAAAAAAATACAAGGTATAGGAGAAGAGTTTGAAGTAAGATTAAGCAGAGACTAAAGTCTGTAGAACATCCTTCCACCTGCTTCCATACTCTCCTTACATGAAAAATACAGGTTGACTTCTCTTCAGGTACAAAGCTTAGAAGAATTCTAACAAATTCCAATCAGATTATCTCAGAGGACAAACTGATCTGACCTTTCAGTTCTGTTCCTAAATAACATTACACCACACATACAAGCGTGTGACCCAACTTGCTTCCCAGGACCATAAACATACCCTTCCTATGGAAGAGAGACTGCTGGATGTGGTCTGGTGCAAATGGCGAAAGTAAAACCCGTAACCACCTGAAAATGAAAGCAACAAAACAAACAAAAGCACTAAGAAGGTGTTAATGCATATAGCATTCAATTACACAGCAAAAAATGTAAAGTATTCAGTAATTCCATTTTTTTGTAAGTATTCCTGCACTCTGGATAACTGGAACTGCATAGCATCAGCAGTGCACGTGCATTACTGTTAATGTGACAGTGAGAAACACCACTGTTTTTTTGAACTGCGTTTTATGCTGCAGAACAGTTAGTCACATCTTTAAACATGTCTTTTTCATCTCTGCCTTGAGCATTCTCAAACTGATTATAAAAACAGACTTCTCAGGAACTGCCAGTCAGAAAAATCAGCCAAGTGCACTCAGGCAGCTTCTACTCATCCAAGGGAAGCATTAAAAGCTGTCAGTGCACAAGTACATAGAATATATCGTGTCACTACATGCAGATACTGATAGCTTCTGTACACATGAAAAACCATTGAAGGGAAAACATTTTTTTTTCTAAAATTCTGTTACAGATAGTTCCATTATACATCATCAGCAATAACTCTGAATTCCTTTTACTTGCTTTCTTATTTAATCAAAGGTATACTTGATGGTCAGAATTCCAATAAGAAGGAACACCAGATATAAGATGTTTAACAGCTGTGTAAATGAAAGAAAACTAGGAATGCATTGCTTGGCAAACACTGTTTAAGTTCACCAGGTAACAGTGTTAATTAGTGCTTACAAAGCTAAAATAAGTCTACATCATACTACTAAATATACAAAGTTGGAGAGGAAGTGGAGTTGCTTGCCTGTCCCGTGAGTGGTTGAAGACCCTGATCTGTCCATGACGGTAGATGAACTTTGAAATTGGGTATGGCTTTAAGGAGATGTGAAATGGAGACCAAGTTTCTTGTCGCTCAAATAGCTCCGGGTGATTGCACACCTGTAAGAAAGGGAGCACGTCAGACATAAAGAAGAGATGAATTCAGGCTAATGCAATGTTTACATCCCAAGACAACTATCACTACTGCTCACTCTAACATTGGCTAGAATTTCACAGCCATTCTGGTACATTTGTTCAAATTGAACACTGCATCATAGATTTTCCTATTATTTCACAGCTATTCCCTCTCTTCCCCAAGGAAATGATGTCTTCAACAACCAATATGGAACCAGATGCAAGCAGCATTTGCCTGAAGCTCTTCTACCCCAACACTGTGCAACATTGCTCCAGAAAGACAACAAATCACATGAAAATTCGCATGCCTATGCCATAAGTTTTTTTATATGATGTTTTCTAGAAGTTGTACTTTAGCTGTGAGTTAACAATGGAATATACTTTTAAAATTATTACTTAAAATAGCCTTACCTTCCTGAACTGCATGACTAGATTCATGAGACTACTAGTAGTGGTCTGTGCTTGCTGAGTAGTGCCCATTGAAGATTGCAAGAGGTCATCAATAGAGATTTTATTTTTCAGGGCTTGATACAACAGCTTCTGTCGACTTGTCTGCTGGCAGTACATAAGAATCTCAATCTACAAAACAGTAATGAAGTTTCAGTTTTTTCTCTCTCAGAGGCAGAGCACGACCAGATCAGTACAAAGAAGGGAAAACTCATATTAAGTAAATCTTAGTGTTCTCAAATATATATATACAGACAGTTGTGTTCATATCTGTATTTCAGGATGGATCCTGAAGCCTGGAAAAAGGCTGGAGCCTGGAAAGCAATTAACCTGCAGCTGTGTTTCAGAAAGCTTAGTTAACAATATGAGACAGAACTTTACAAGTACATGAACACAACCAAGACAACAGTCCTAAGAAGCTGTTGAAAACACCAGCTGCAGCTGAACAGCTTAAATTTTGCCCTCAGTTGTGCTATTCTATTCTTAAATGTTACCAATTTGGAGTCATCATGAACAGATGTCAGGAACCCACGATAAAGACAACTAATAGGTCACATAATAACAGTGTTTATGAGAAGAGTTCCACTTTTGAAACTAACAAGTACATCAAAAAAAGCAAGTCTCTTAGTCAGTAGTCCCAAAACCATGAGACACACTGTTCACAAGTCCATCCAGCATCACTAAGAAGAAATTACAACCCAAGAGAGAAGAGCCCGATGTTGCCATTATGCATATCTTGCTCAAGACAAGCAAGCAAAGAGTCCTAAATCTATGCCAAATTCTTCACGAAGTTCACCCAAACACTGCTGTATTAATCTCTTTCACCTCAGTGATGCTACTGTCACCTTAAACAGACTTATTTTTTACTTGTAATAGTGAATGCTTACCCCAGAAGAAAAGAAAAAAAAAGTTTAGGGGTTCTTAAGTTGTATTCATGCCTAATGACATTACTGGAATGTGATGCCAGAAGCAGGTCTGTGAAAAGTCTACAACCAAATTTCAGGTTACACAGGGACGAATTAGCCTGTAAAAAGCAGATGTGATAACAGAACTATGACAGTAAAGCTGAAATACTCCAATTAAGGATCAATACTTTTTCTCACCTTATCTGACAGTTCATTTTCCACATCTTTCTTGATTCTTCTCAACATGAAAGGCTTCAGGATCATGTGTAAGCGGGATAGCTGGTCTGAAACACAAGGGAAGAGGAAAAATGAACAATTACTTCACCAGAGAAGGAAACCACATTGTGTCCTACTACTTACTGCTCAGCCAGTTCCCTAATATGAGTTCTTGAAGCACACAGTTTGGGTTATTTAAGAACTCTTAAAACCTTCATCTTAGTGGCAAGACCCAACTGTGCTGTGTTCTATTCCAATCAAAAATTACCTATATTATGTAGGTAGATTTTTCAACATAATTATCCCTTGAAACTTACTGTGAAACTTATTCTTTTTTTCCAGCAAATAATTTTTATACTTCTCTTCTGAAGCTCAAAAGGTGTTCAGTGCTTTCTATCCTTTTCATTTAGAGAGCTTGTAACATATTCTCAAGGCCTACAAAACGATGGGCTCTAAAGAAATTTACAATAATTTAAGTATTTGTTCTCCTGCATTGCTAAGTAGGAGGATTAGACAGGTATCAAGCCAACACCTTCACCACGTGTTCTTCTGTTCACTATGCGCGATAAAGTCACAAACAAAAATTTTGACAAATGGTGGACATACATCACAATGTTCCAATCTGACTAATGTACACTCTGCTTTAGAAGACATTTCCCACAGACATAATGAGAGAAAGTTTATTCATTGGTAGCTGGAAAAGACAATAGATTTTCAATACACAAAACCACCATAATCAAACGCTGCACTCACTTTCATCAATGGCAGATTTGTTCTCTGCATGACTTTCTATGTCCTTAGAAAACCACTCATTGAACTCTTCATGGGAATCGAACAATGTTGGCATGATAAAATGCAGCAGGGCCCACAGCTACAAGGCAGAAGAAAAAAAAGAGCGTAAGTCATCCTGCTGTGGGGAAGGTAACTAAGGATCCCACATTTTTGCAGCTCTTTATGAGCTAAGTCACTTTACTTATTTGTTTAACTGAGAATCACAGGGTTGGAAGGGACCCCAAGGATCATGAATCTCCAACCCCCCTGCCACAAGCAGGGCCACCAACCTCCCCATTTAATACCAGACCAGGCTGCCCAGGGCCCCATCCAACCTGGCCTTGAACACCTCCAGGGACGGAGCATCCACAGCCTCTCTGGGCAGCCCGTTCCAGCATCTCACCACTCTCTCTGTAAAGAACTTCCCCCTGATATCCAACCTAAATCTCCCCTCCCTCAACTTAAAACCATTTCCCCTTGTCCTGCAGTTATCTACCCTTTCAAAGAGTTGGTTCCCCTCCTGTTTGTAGGCACCCTTTAGGTACTGAAAGGCTGCAATGAGGTTACCCTGCAGCCTTCTTTTCTCCAGGTTGAACAAGCCCAGCTCCCTCAGCCTGTCCTCACAGGGGAGGTGCTCCAGTCCCCTGATCATCTTTGTGGCTCTCCTCTGAACCCCCTCCAACAGTTCCCTGTCTTTCTTGCACTGGGAGCTCCAGACCTGGACACAGTACTCCAGATGGGGCCACACAAGAGCAGAGGGGGACAATCACCTCCCTGTCCCTGCTGGCCACCCACATTCTTCCCCCATTCCAGATATATCAATATCACTAGAAAGCAGTGAGAAATGTACAGCAATAACTTCAGCCAGCAGAAGCAGCAGCTACCAGAGCTATTTTTTATCCTGTAACCTAGGCATTACTATCAGATATCTCCAGTTTTACTGTTATTTGACTATGCCCTAACAGGTCTGATCCTAGGGGGTTTTCTTGGCAAATGGTGTGCAAGACATGATCCTGCACAAAGACAAGAGGTTTCTCAACTGCTCACATACATTTAGGACATAATCTTGTGATAAAGCAAAGCCAGCTCTTGTGAGCCTATGAATACCTCAGCCATTGTGTTCTGGATTGGGGTCCCCGTCAATAACAATCTATTTCGACACTGGAACTGCAGTAGGATCTTCCAGCGAACACTGATGAATAAAATGGAGAAAAAAAACATGAGAATTGTTTTTGTAGGATATAAAAAATAAAGAACTTTAAGACCAGCTGCTTCTAGTGACCTTCCCAAATGTTTTGTTGGAGGTCATTGGGTAATAACATCACAGCTACTGCCCAGTCTTTCAAAAGGCAGTTACAGAAGGAAGTAGCCTTTTATAAAATACAAAGGAATGAACATCATTTATTTTATTTATCTAACTATGTTTTAACTCACTTTTAATACAAACGATAATAAACTCTTATCACCAGAATAATTAACTTCCCAAGAGAAACAGTTATTATCAATTGTAATCTTGTGTATTTTTCAGACTTTACAACACTAAGTCCACTGCGGAAAGAGTACTGAGCTGTATGTTACAGTCTTGGAGGGGCAGATTTCAGTCTGAATGAGTCTCCATCCAAAAGAGTCTCCAGCATATGGAAATGGAGATTTGATGTGTACAGTGGCAATATGGGAAAAAGTTGTGAGAAAGCATCTACAAAAGTAGAAATGGACACATCTCTATACAGAAATGAAAATAAAGCTTTCTGGCACAGAGTATTATGAAAAAGATTGGGCTTTACTGCAACTGACAGTATTCACAGGGATTCTAGAATTCACAGGGTTCTAATTTCATTAGAAGGCCTGGGAGTGCCATCGAAAAAGCAATAAAAATGATGCATTTAATGGAGAAACGTAAGCAATATGCATTAAAGACTACAGACTGTTCATGTGGCAGAACTGTATGAGTAGCTAAGACAAAGATGAACAGTATTTAATACCATTTTCTTTCACTGTTCTGTACTTCATTCATACTTCTGTTCCACAGTTAGTCTTTAATTACGTTAACATATTTGGAAGAGGAATATTGTGGATCATTCCATTGTCACAGAGTTGGAGTTATGTACATACTTAAACTATGTTAAGACACTTGAAGTCTCCTGTCTGTTTCAATTGTAACAATCAGTTTTTGTACCTTCTATATTCCTCTACGAGATTGATAGAAAGAAAAGATTTTTTTCCAGTTCATTTATTACCTGGAGCTACTCTTGAGCGCTTGTGCTTCATCCAGCACCATGTATTGCCACTTCACTCGCTGGAAATACTTCACATCCTGTACTACCAGTTGGTAACTGGTAATCACCACGTGGAAAGGAGCATCCTGAGTATACAATGTCTTCTATAAACACAAAATAAAAAACAAATGTCCATATAACATAAACACACTGTGAAGAGTTCACCTGTCCATGCTGTAATTTCAGACTTCTATTTCATAATTTTCTCTCATTATTACTTCATTTTTCCTCAACTGACTTTTCAAAGTATCTACAGCAAGGTTATTCAACTAGTGGATCTGAACTTCAGTCCATTAGTCCCTGATCAATCTCAGATGCTTCTTAATGCACCAAACAAGAGCTAGGTGTTGAACTCTACAAAACGCTGTTTACTTATATTAAGTTAGGAACAATCTGACAGGTCTGCAGGGATGCTAGCCTTGGGCATTCTGACTTAAATTATCCAACTTGAATAAACAGTTCCTGACATTAAAACAGCCTGCTTAATTTTAGGGCTCTAGTTTCATCAACTAATATCATACTACCCTAAATTGTGGCGTACTGTGTTGCTCTCTAATAAAACATTGGTCTTCTACCCCACTATATTAACAAAGGTTACCACATGGACGAAGAAACAGCACTGTTATTCACACATTGCTTAGCATAATGAAGTGTATTAATGGTTTGTTTTACTTTGCACAAATAACCAAGATGGTCCAATCACACAGGCGTGCCAAATTTACCTGACTCCAGAACTTCCTAATGACCTTTCTATCATGAGGATTTCCCCAGTAAGGTAGCACCTGGAACAGTATAAAAATATAAAAACATTACTTTTCAGATAAAGATGTACTCGCTTTAGAATTTCATACTATGCATTCTACAGATCAGAAAGACAGCTTTCCTCAAAACCAAAAGGGAATGATCTTTCTTATCATGCAGAAAAAAAATCGGAAAGTACTCAAAAAATTCTTAGAAACGTAATTCCAAGAAACAATGATCATTTGTCTTATGCCTAATATAAAGACAGCATATCTTGATCTAAAAACGCCCTGAAGAATGTTTCTAAAAATGAAAACAGATACGTTATTTATGGAAGAAACAAGTCTCTGCATAACTAAAAGGCTTGCTCTCCTGCTTAATTTTCCCTGTTGTTTCTTCCTAATAACACCAACTCTGTTGGATTCGTACTGTTTCCAGAGATGAAAGGTAACACATCTAGTCTAGACATAACAAATATAACGATTTTTAAAAAGTCAGTAACAATACAAAAAATCTGGCCATTCATTTATAACTCAGAGTTTTATGGGTCCCGTTGCTCAGAACAGATCTTTGCAGTGAACAGAAAGCAGCCAGAGTTACTAATTGTGCACTGCCATCGTCTGTCTGATGAAAGGACTACAATGCAAGACTCAAAGTCAGGAGTGCTGGTTTCTGAGCTTGGAAAACATCTCCATCCTCCAGCAAGCAAGCTCTAAGTTGCTATACAAACGACATGCCTTTGGATGAACATTCTTGCAATCGTTGTAAAATAAGGATGTTATTAAAAAAACCCATGAGATTAACAAACAAGTTAAGCCTTATATTTTACATACTTTACATATTCTGCCATGAACCTGAAGAAATGAATTCACTGTGATTTACCATAAGAATAAACAACTATGAGTTTCAACATGGTAAGAAGCAGGAACAAAACTGGTTCAAAAAAATTGGTAAAAATTATAATCAGTAACAATCAAAAGCTTAAATTTTTTTTTAAATAAAGTTTGTTCCAGGAACGTGGTATTATTACGCTAACCCACAAAACAGCTATGTAATAACAGAAACAGGGAAAACCATGCTTACAATAATAATAATATTATTATTAATTAAAAAAAAAAAAAAAGAAAAAAAAAAGATAGCTCTCTGATCTCAAGCATCCTGACTGCATTTTTGAAATATTTGCTGTATTGGAGAAAAAGCATGGAAGTTACTCATCTATTCTGTATAATTAACTGGTCGGAGCAAATTACGCAAAGTAAACAGACAGTGTTGGCTAATCATTCTCATGTTTTCTACTCCAGGTTTTAAGCTAGGATCCCTACTGTTTTGGAACCAAGAAATGAAGTATTACTTACAGCAATACTTCCAACTCTTTTCCCACACCTCATTAAGTAGCCACAGCATTCAAACAATCAGCCTGGGCGTTACTTGTATATTGGCTGCTTATAGTTTTAAGTGGGTGGTTTTTATTTGTTGGCTTTATAAATTCTTTGTAAGAATTAAAATTACTTGTGCTTACAAAACCTAATCATGATCTCTTCATAACAAACATTACCTTATCAACAACTCAAACATTTAAACCATAATCTCTTCTTTGCAGCTGTAACCATAAGCTTCTGAACCTGTCTACCTTTAATTCTAAAAGGCTGTTTCTGTTTCAGTGATATATATTCCTTTCAAACCTTCCTTCCAAACACTCAAATGTTTTTCACTGGAGTACAGGTAAGCAGCTTGTTTTTCCAGTAACTGACTGTTTCTTGCTTTCTACATCACTATTTTCTCACAATTACTACACACCTGAAGGCTATGACTTATTTTCCTGTTAGCTTTTTGCTCTTACCTAATTGTGCTTCACTACTCTCTCTTTTCTTTCTTCCTAGTTGCTTGTCTATGGTTCTTCTACTTCTCTCTAAGAACACTGTCTCTCATTCTAGTTTGTTTAGAATTCTGGTTTTATCTACAAAGTCTTTGTCTTATTTAACCAGATTGATAGGAATGACTGAAAACACTGCTCTGAAGAGGATGCATAAGACTGAAACATTATTCTTGGGTCGACTGCCAGGACCACACACTATAGAACTGAACATCCACTCCTTGCTTACTTCAATTCCCTCATCAAGATGGAGTCCTGATGCAAAATGAAAATCATATGATTCAAGAAGGAATATTTTTTAGATATTTTAGATAAATGAATACTACAGAAAGTCAGGACAGTGGAGAAATATCAGAACCAGACTCATTACAGAATATGAAACTGCAAGATAATGAGGCACCCAGATGCGCCAAAGAATTCAGGAATACAAACAGTTTGCTTTTGAGAAAATCTAAAAGAACTGTCTTGTATGTTCTTATTACCTTAAATTTAGGAACAAATCTGGCAAACTCCTGGTGCCAGTTGTTAAGAGTAGATGCAGGCGAGATTATTAAAAAAGGTCCCCAGATGTTCTCTCTCTGCAATATACATATTAAAAAAAAAATAAACAGACATCATAAATTAATTTGGGGGAAGGAACACGGAAATAGTTTCATACAGTTTTGCAACTGCTAAGTAACAGTTGCTATGTAAGATAGAATTATACACAATGTAATAAAACCTCCTTCCAGAACAGCAGGGTGACACAGAATCAAACAGAGCAGACCTAATGTCTAACACAGTCCTCCTTCAGTAAACCTGAGTTGTTCCCAGAACAAATACCACCACTGTGAACTGCATTGTTCATTTTTTTTTTCAGAAAGTTGCCACCTGCACCCTACTAACATTTCGGGAAGGAAAAGACACCGGGTGGAATTGGAAAGCTTTGCTCCATCACATAACAACAGAATAACTTCTTGTGAAAAAGAAGATGAATAATTAGTGTACTGGTGTAAGCTGGTCAGTGCAAGGGGAAGCAGGAAATATTAAAAGCCATATGAATTCTTCCAAAAATCTCAAGTTGCAACAGGGAGACAAGCCTATCTAGTTGTTATCCCTTTTATACAAGTGAGCTTAAGAGACTTTGGCTCTGCATCCTTCCAATGTAATTGTTGATAGTACCATCACAAGTACATCAAAACCAACAGCAACTTGCTCTCTCACCAAGCTTTTACAACCAGTGCATATGAAATGATGTTACTCTGTGAATAAATGGAAATCCTATTTTTATATAATTCTACATAATATTATATATATATATGTACACACATATACAGTCATATACACACAGGAACTTTTAAAAATACAACTTAATAACAAACGGAAATGCCATAGATAAAATGATTTTTAAAGCACTTAAGCTGTATAATCTGGAATTCACTTCAAATGTGAAAAGTACACATCTATCAAGAAGACCAAGAAAAAGCTATAAACCACTTACTTCAGCCAGGTGTGCAAGGAGAGCAATACTTTGTACTGTTTTACCCAAACCCATTTCATCTGCCAGGATTCCATTGATGCCCTGCAAAAAATCCATGAATTTACACTTTCGTCTTACTACGTTTTTATCCACGCAGGACTTGAAAAATGAAGCAACCTACTTTCTTTTAGGTCTTCTACTGAGAGATATTTCATATCAACTGCACTTTCATTCATTTCTAGGTCATATTTTTTTTCCCCTCAGTCTATCTGCACATCACAATCACACTGCAAACTGGATATGCACAGAGCAATGCCATCTGCAATTTACAATCTGCCCAAAGCCTGAAACTGTATGCAATTCTGAGAAGCAGAAGTCTCTTCAGTGTATAATCTAAATGATAAGCAGTTCTGTAAATACCCACATAAGGAATCTCGAAATTTATGCTCTGTTCAAAGTCAAGGATTCTGATGGATGGTTTACATAATATTTTCATTTCTTCTAAAAATATTGCAGATGCAGTAGATGTGGTCTATTTTTAAAACTAGTTAAGTTTTTGAAAAAGTTTCCCCTAATTACTTAAATTATCCTAGAAGTTTTAAAAATCTGCAAGATGTACTAAGATACCTGTTCATATAGGTTTGCCAGCCAATTCATGCCTTTCAGTTGGTAACCTTTCAGTTTCCCATTGAAAATAGTAGGCTGTGGAATATCTTCTCCTGCCCGGATAGAAGGATTTGCTAAACTGTAGCTCTCCCCAAAGCCAGTACCAGACTTGTTAGCAGCCCGTAAAGCAGCTGCTCGACTTTCCTTTGCATCTTCATCAAATGATCTAGTCTAAACAAGAAAAGGAAAATACATGAAGATTATGAACATGTTAACAAAAACTGTATAGTAAAAGGCTTTACTCTTCACATTAGCACACATGATGTTTGCCAGAAATTAATGGAAAACAAACCTGTTCCCAGATATTTTATCTTTTTTCCACTTGTTTGAACAAAGAAAGGGGCAATGAAATCAAACTAACCTACTAGACTTGGCTGCTATTAAAGATTCTGGCTTTAGTACCTTTACCAATTACTCTGCTTTTTCTTTTACTTCATGGATTCAAAACATACATACCCGGGCTTGGTGAATCTGGTAAGCATCCTCAGCATTCTTCAGAGCTTGGGCCTTGTAATAGTTACTATCTGAAAACAACATCTCCATGTTAGAGCTTTGCAGAATCAACAACCCAAGTTAAAAAAAATAAAGAAATCTGTTAAGCTTCAGTAATTACAGATGTGCTTCTTATACAGAAGGAATTTTATGCTTGACATTGTAAATGTGATTAGTAACGTAAATAGCACAGTAAATTCCAAAAGGGCATAGGAAGGATTGTGGATGAATTGCTTACCATAATCTTCCTGGGTAATGTTGACCACTACTCCTCCTCCAATATCAATCTGCCTTTGGGTAGAGCTGTCTTCCAGTTTGCGTAGGATTTCCTCCTGTATTCCATCATGCCCAATATCTCGCTTACGACTCATAAAATGGGCATATAATTCAGTTTGTGTGATCAGGAAGTTAAGTTTTCGCTGCTGCCTTTTAGCCTAAGAGAAAAGCATTTACCAAGATCACAGGTTAAAAAAAAAAACAACAAAAAACCCCATCAATAAAGCAATAAAGATTCAGTGATTAAAATATGGTTAAAAAAAAAAGTTTTAATCTAATAAAATGACAACCTATCTAGGTTTTACTATGCACATTATTTTGATTAAAAAATGCCAGGACATCAGTTGTATGCAAAAAACTAGCCACCACCATAACCACCTGTATTAAAATAGAATAGTGATACAAATGAAATATTCTTTTAAATTATATAATCATGGCAAAGAATACCATAATCTCCCAAAAGAAAGATTAAAGGTTTTGTTTATGCTGAAAAACTTAAAAGATTAATAAAAAAGAAACAGCAACAGAGAGGTATATGGTAAAAGAACCAAAGAGTTAAAAAACTCACTATACAATCATAGCAGGTAACTCTAATGTTCTATTATTTACAAGTAAGGAGAACAGTGAAAGAATATATTAAATGTACACATCTGAGATATTATAACTGTCTGGGCTTCAGCAAGACGTTGCAGAAACTCTGTTCATTCTTAGAGTCTGGCTAAGAAATGATATAGTAAAATTTGCCTAGTGATTTCAGCCACACAATGTTTGCAGATTTGTAAGAATTGAGAGAAACGCAATACATAAAAGCATGATCTAATGATTTTAGCATTAAACTAAATAGAAGGTATTCTGATGATTCAACATCAGCTCACCACTGAACACTGAAGGTAGAACTGTAAATCCACCAGAGAATTTTGGCAAGATTTTTTTTTCTTAAATTCAACCCTTACAACTAAGAGAGTCAAGGAACCAAACACTTTGCCAACACAAACAGTGATCACAGAAAAATTCTCAACTCTGTAGGCCCCCAGAAGTCCTGCTCACATTCTCTGCAAGTCTTGATGCTAGTTTACAGCAGAAAAATAAAATATCAATGTGAATGAAAAGGTGACTTGGCCTTTGTATTCAAAAAGATGTACAAATCATCACAAAAGGCCAGCATGAACTAACACTGAGTTATGCATGCATCAGTGAGACGCACGGTGTTCATTTAATCCTTTATTCTACTTCAACCACTTAAAATTTACCTGAGTAAAGAACTCAGGTAGTTCACAGGCTTCTTATAATCTTTAAAATAGCAAATAAATGCACGCAATATTATTGAAACAGAATAAACAAATGAAAGTAATAGCCCAGATTTAGCAACTCAAATTATTTAGTCATTTCTGTGTTTACTCAAGAAATTAATTATCAGCAACCTGTGTTTTTGCTTTACCTCTCTCATCTCCTCATCCAGCTTGCGTTGCTCCAGAGCCTCTTTCTCAGCCCGTTTGCGATGCTCTTTTTCTACCTTTTCATATTTTTTCCAATAGAGAAGCATCTCCTTGGTAAGACGACGTGCCCGTGGTAGAGTTTCCTTACAGTTTTTCTGGGCCTGGAGAGCAGCTCGACGTACCTCTCTCATGCACTGATGAGCAAGCTAGGGAGAAATAAGGTTTGGATGCAGATGAAAGGTGAGCAGCTTTAAAGAAAACCAGCAATGCACATCACGTTTAATTGCAAACAAATCTGATCCTTCAAAAGAGAAAAACTATGGCACTTTGCTCAGCAGTTAGACTTTTGAAATGATGAGAGAGAACATAAATGTCCAACAACTTCCTGAGATGCATACAAAAAAACAAAACCTAAGACAGCTGCAGCACAGCACGGCACTTAAAGGGATTGATCTGGTGGGTAGATCTTTCAAAGGTACTCCAGAGACCAGAGTTTAAGGTCTGCCTGCAACTGTGACTCTACTCCAAACATTCTTCAGTTGCACACACTCTTTCTCACTGTTTGAATAAGGCTGCTGCAATGGCGATATTGGTAGCACACAATCACATTCACATGTTAACATACTGAAAAGTGGGGGAGTATCCTACAATTTTCCTACCATCTCATAAAGAAGCATACTAGTGTCATTTTTCAATCCAGCATATATAAATTAATGTCATTGTCGTAATGGTCAAAATTGCTGGGTTTGATGTTTGTGACAGTTGTTTTTTTCCCCCACTGAAATTTGTACATCAATAATTCCATCATGCAGAGATTGCAAATGATCAAGTAAAATGAAAGCAAAGGAAAAAAGAGTATAATTTCGAACCTTTTAAGTCTGCTGCATCACTCACTTGCTAAAATACAGTTTGTGATATCTACAAATACAATAATCACAGAATATTTGTCCAGACATCAAAAAGAAATCTAGCCTCTGATAAGGACGCCCACAGTGAAGTAGATCCTGTTTTCTGTATTCCTTGCAGAGAAAACATTCCCGTTCCTACTAATGTATATATGGAACATAATATCTCCTATGTCATCTTGTGTCTGACGATCATTAGCCATATACTTGATTATTTTTACACTAGGCATATATATGAATCACATACTTGAGCATAACACTTTAAAAATGCTTTAAATGCATTACCAAATGTTCCTACAATGAAGTCTTCTAGGTAGAAATAGTGACACTTCTCAGAGACTACTCAAATGAGGAAATAAATTCCTTTGGCAATCACTTAATGAAAAAAATTGTTCCGTTTTTAATCCCAGTTCCTATGTAAGTTTGCATAAATTAACACATTTTAATGCTTCCAAGAGCCCTTTTGATTTACACATGAATACTTACAACTGCAAATTCTGGCTACTGGATAAATGGGCAGTTCAAAAGCTAATGAAGTGTACTGAAGTCTTTAATTTACTGTATCAAAATCAGTGAATAAAAATGAATACAGTAAATCTTACGAAAGCCAAAATGAATATAGTAAATCTTAGGAAAGCCAGTGGGATTTGAGGACACAAATTTATGTTGCTTGTTTCCTCTACTGCTTATGGAACACACCAATATGATGCATTTAAAAAATGAAAAGCCTCATACAAATTATTTACGTACAGTTCTTTCTCCTGTACTGTCCTGCTAGAATCATCAGTATGAAACAAAGAGATTACAGTTTGCTTATTACGTTCAATACAAGTATCAGCATCAAGCTGAACACTTACCTTTTTGCTGTTGGTAAGGAAAAGGTTGCGTGCTGATGCTTTTTGTTTGTATGCCTATAAAAGAACACATCCTACAATTACTTGATGGCTAATAGCTGCACACTACTTTAGACAATCACTGTCCAGTCTCTAGCTGTTAGATCTGCCAACCTCAGTCATGCAGTCCATTGCATAATTGAGTACATGTTCTGTAACTATTTTTGGTTCTGATGGAAATACCTTCCCTCCTTCACTGTCCAACATGTGTAAACGCATTCCTGCTCCTGAAGGAAGTATTTAAAACATCCCCTTTTTCAGGCTTTTTCTTTAACTACTACTTCTGCAAAGCAGGATAATCCTATTCCACTGTCAACACTGAAACAAACAGAAGATGTTTCCACTGTTCCCCAAAGATAGAGTTAATGTGAATTATGTTATTCACATTAACAAAATCATTTGAAAAAATAACACTGCACATACCCTTTGCACAGTTCCTACATTCATAAAGAATGATACAGCTACCAGTTATACTCAAGTCATTAGAAATTCAGTCTATTAAAAATATATTCCCAGAGAACAAATGACAGTGCATCCAGCTATCGCAAACATGCCCAAAGCTTGTCCTGTCAATGACACGAAGCTTTCCCTAGGTTGTTTCTTATGTTTCAAAACACATATATGCTGTGATGACTGAAATATGCCTCTCCTGAACTTAAACACTGGTCCAGAATATTGGTTTGCTTTACGTAGGTATCCGCAGATTTGTGGAAATACCCCCTTGAGTTTATTGTACTGTTCATGGAAAAGGGTTAGATAGCCAAATGAAACAAACACACTGCATGATCCACTGGTGTTAAGAAATCAGAACTGCACTTTGCTTACAGATTGCAGAGTATCAGTTCGGCCATTACTGACCAGCAGAAAATCACTGTTATTTTTTATCCCACTTTCTTGTTATCATCAGTGATGTAGCGCCATTAACCAAGCTCACCTTTGGCAACTCCTTTTTAACAATGCTAAGCCACACTTTTCGCCGACGAGCATTAAGTTGTTCAATAGACATGTGCTTTTTCTTGGACCCAGGTGGTGGTGTGTCATGAGAAAACTTGGCAAAAACTTTGGTCTGGTGATGGTGGTGTTCCGGTGACTCCTCCGAAGACAGATCTTCATCCCGTCTCCTCTTTTTCTTTACTTTTTTCAACTTTCCTGCAAGATCGATCATTAAATCTTTTTTTTTTTTTTTTCCTATTCTGTGGACCTTCTGCATTTAGTCTGACATCTCTCCTAACTAAGCTATCCAAGTCACTTTGTGTGTGCAACCAACAAAAAAGTCAAACCTACCTATGCCTGCCAGTACTAGTACCACGCACTCATTTCTTCATGCTTTTGCAACTAACTCCTATGGCATATTTCCTTTCATGAGGAAGTATTCATTAGGAATTAAAATATCTGTGATCTGATACAATGCTTTTTGCCCTGTGGTAAAATTTTACTTACAGACATGTAAAGGATATATAAAAGTAACAACATCAGCATTTGGTAGATGTCTCAAATCATCGTGAAAGAGATTGATATGTTATCATTTATTGTCAACACAACTTTCAGAGGAAACCACCAGATGCTGTTATCAGATAATAAATACACTATTCGATAGTATGCAAAATCAGGACACTACAAGATTACTGGAAAAAAATACAGCATTAAAGGAATTTACAGAAAGAGAGGAAGGATAGAGGGAAGCCCAAAACAACCTTCTTAAAACACAGCTCGAACATGAGTGCTTGCAATACACAGAATTCACCTTACAGTGACAGTTCACAGTCTTCTCTTCCTGCTTTCTACAGATGCTGCCAGCTCAGCCATGAAAGAAAACTGTACTTCCTGGCAAACACGCAGCTGAAAAACTCCAGCTGAGAGGTTACAGAAGTAATTCTATTTTAATGTATATTGGACATCGATTCTCAGCTCCCTCTAACTTCCAGAAAACAATCTCATTTCTGGAACAATTACACATTCTGGAATAACTGTATCAGTTACTGAGTAGTTTCTTATATTTTTCTAAGAACTATCAAGTTTCAAAGGAAACAAGCAAATGGATCATGATACGCAGCAATATTTATGGATTCTGAAACATAGCCAAGCAATACTGAAATAGCTATGAAGTACTTATTGCATGTCTCTCATTCTGGATCCAGAGGTCCACAAAGAAAATTTAAAACCATGAACTCTCAATTTGCATCATCTTTTTTCACCCTAGTTCTCTAGAGGCCAGATAAAGCACAGTATTTTACGATTTCTCTTTGATGGAATCAGCCATTAGCCTTCCATCCAAAACACAAAGGTCTGGAACGTGTTCAAACATGAACATTTATCCAAAGACAACAATAAAAGAAAGGAGTTTAAATCACAGCAACTCCCAAAAAACACAATGTGAGTGACTTTACCTTTCAATTTTTTCTCTTCTTTAAACTTCTTTTTCTTGGGCCCTAGCAGGTGGCGCTGCTGCTCATAGTAAGGATCGTACGTAGACAGCAGTCCTGCGCTGTAGTACTGGTATTGCTGCAACTGAAGTAGATGTAAATGAGCACACTAACATAAACCAGATACGGCAGATAACAGCAATAGCAGGTAAATGAATTCACATCTTGATTGCAAGTGAGACATCAGTAAATGTACTACTCCATATTTAGCACTGTTATCGAGGATTGGAGAGTCCAAAGTGAAACCACTTGCCCACAGGTGGCCCCTGAGTTCTACAGAGGGAACCAAACCCACTCAGTCAAATAAGACAGGAAAAGCGTGCAGCGAAGCTCACACTTTCAAAACATACCACTACATCATTTTCCATATAGGTGCTGCCCAGCAAAACAGCACATTACATGCAACAGTCCAATCAAGGACTTCCTACTTGTTTTGTTTGGATTCCCAAGTTACATGCATGTCCTACTTTTATCACATGAAAAGATATCAAAGGACAGGTTTAGGTAAAAGGCATTTAAAAGATTTCCACACAAACAAATCAAACATTCAGGTTATCTTGTAAAAGTACGTGACCAAGGAATTTGGAGATTATAAAAAAATGTAACATATTTCAAGAGTTATTCAACTAAAATACTAAAGAACTACATACAGGCTATACACAAACATAAAAATTATGACCTTTGTGGAAGCTGGGTGTATGAGTGTTTGTGCAGTTACATGGTATTTCAGGAAGCCAATACAATCTGGGTTGAAAAGATAATGACTGAACAAAGAAAAGAAATGGACAGAAAGAAAGACTTGGGTGGAAAAAAAATTTCTTCACTCTTCTGGAGAAATCTGAAGCAGTATAAAACAAAATGTAAAATGTTTATTTCATACACATTCTCTGATAGCAGAACAGGATGATTTTCTTCATCTGAGACCCACTTTCAGTTGCAATTCAAAGCAGCTTTTTTTTTTTTTTTTTTTTGTAAATGCTCTTATGACTCAATACATTATTAGAAACAAAGCAGTCAAAATTTGGCACAATGTTAAGAAAATTAGAAATGCAGCAGATATTTTCTGAGAACGAAGAGACTAAAAGAAGTGGATGTAAAAAGAAAATCTAAAATAGAAAAGGAAGGTATGAAAACAAGAAAGGCAAGTAAAACCCCAAAGAATTACAGAAAGCACTAAGGAAGAATACGAGGAACTCCCTTTCAAAAAGATAAACATCATCCCTTTGATTGCAGCCTCAATGGTGAGGCAAATGTACTGCAGTAGGTTTAAGTATACAATTTTAATCCTGAACAGCAGCGACCACCTGTATTAAAATCTAAGCCACAGCATCTCAGTTTTGATATGTACTGTTTGAACATTGCATTCTAGCACCATTTTTGCTCTAATGAACACAAGAGTGTTGTAGAAGCTGTATGTACACATGCATCCATACTGTCTATGTAAATTGTTGAGAGATTCTTAGCATAAGGTATCAATAGCTTTTCAATCAGTACAGAATTATTAACCCTTCCCTGAAACCGACATTAGATTGTTCTAGTCTACCAAACAATTTTCTAATCCACAAAATACTATAAATTTTCACAAAAAAATGTGGAAATAGTTAAAATAATGCAACTATAACACAAAATAATGCAATAATGCAACAATGAAAAAAAAGAAAATGAAGGAAATATGGAAGTTCTGGATTTTTACCTCTTTGTCTTTGCTATATTTACTTTGATGTAGTTTCTTATATTTGTGTAATCGCAGCATATTGTGAAGCTCCTCCCTTGAAAGAGAAAATTCTTCTTCATCCTCTCCATCCTCATCACTTGGAGAATCTGTGTCACTGGAATCATCACTCAGAAGGATACTCTAACAACAATAAATAAAAATAAAATTAGCACTAACAAGTCCCTATGCTGTATTGTTTATTTTTGCAGAATGCTCTTGGGCCTTTATCTAGTAACACTTAGCCTTTACAAAGTGTCTTCCCTCTGAAATGCTTGAAATGGAAAAGAGTTTTCTGATCTACAGTGCTGTTCAGTATCCAATCAAGTAAACCTTAAGGCTCTTTCTAGCAGTGAGAAAAGCCAGGATATAAGCAAGGGCATTTTACGATGTATGGTTGCAGGTGCTTTGCTACCTCATTTGTACTACTTGTCCTTCTATTCTCCCACTGCACCACTTGCACAAGGTTTGGCTCTTGCTTGACCTCTTGGCAACCTGTTTTTACTAACTAGAGAACACTGCAGTACAATGAAAGGCAAAGATGGCACAGTGCCACTGTTCCACTCTCTCCTTCCTCCCCTCATTTGGACTTTGTACTGACTTCATCTTCCAAACAAATTTTCACCTCAATCTCCAGTGTCCATTTAATACATTTCATAAGCTCACTTTAATTTGGACACAGTACTAAAATTTCTTAATGCTTTTAAATGTATATTCACTGTGGTATTTTACCAAAAAGCTGCTGCTCACCAAAACTGAAATGCCTACCATCCATTTTGCTACACAATGGAAATGGAAGTCTTAAATGCATAGAGACTATAATCCTATTTTGTTCCACCAAAGATCCAATACAATACTTACTACTGACTATCACATACTCCTCTTTCTTTCCCTTTCTAACATGAGAAATCTCTGTAGAATGCCTGTTTTGTTTTGGTATTTTTAATGCAGAAAGAAAACAAAACAACAAAAAAAGCCCTTATTTCTTCTTAGCAAGGGACACTGGAGTAACTCCAGTTACTTAAAAAAGTGCAGCAAAAATCAGACCAATATAGTACGAGATTCAAGAAGTCCTTTAAAGATTGTTTTCAGCAACATATCAATTATTACTATATCTCTATCTCTTCTCCTTCAATATGATACTTTGCATCAATTAAGCTGCACCACATCATTTCAGGCAGCTCTCAAACACAGGCAGTTGCTGTGTATGCTGCTTCAAAAGAAGTACTTTACTTCGACTGTGGCCAAAGAGCATGGAAGATGCAACAGGAAAAAAATGTCTAATGCTCTGGCTTTATTAAGTTTATTAAGTGCTATGGAGGTTCAAGTTGGATATTAGGAACAATTTCTTTTCAAGTTTTCATGAAAAGGGTAGATGTGGCACTGAGAGACATTGTTTAGTGAGTACAGGCGATGGGTTGGGTGATGGATTAGATGATCTTAGTGATCTTTTCAAACTTAATAACAGGATATGGGAACAACTAATCTTAGTGTAAACTTACCATATTTAGCAATTACACTTGTGATAATTTGTGATAATGCTCTGACAAGTGCTCAATTTACTTTCTTTTTGTCCTCTACATTGTTAGATGTTTAGGATTCCATCATCTATACAGATGAGAAGGCAGAGTCCTTTATTCATCACTGTCTACAGGGTGTTAACTAAGACTCGTCTGCTCTTGTCAGATTTCTTTGCAATACCCTTACCTTCAGCCACTTTCTGCTTTTCTTCAGTTTAGAAAAGTTATACAAGCTTCCTTTTTCAGACTTTGGCTCTGTTTAAAGAAAAGATAAAAACAAATTTCTTCAGAAATAATGCTTTTCTCAGCCTACCTCAAAGTAAGCAGAGATTCAACTCAGTGGGTGACTACCTGGCTGCAGTACTCCATTCAGGGAATGTGTGTTCAGCACTCCTGAATTCCCTACTCCAGAAGATTCCCCAAGCAAAGCATTTGGAGGCTCTTCCTTAACTTGCATCAGGGGATCCCCAGATTGAGGCAACAAAGGATTGTCATCCAATCCATCCTCACTTTCATCACTGCAAGAAGATACATAATATGCTGAGAATGAAAGGAAAACATTCAAAAGAAGAAACGTCTGTGCAACTTGCGTGTGGCCATTTGCCTAAAGGTTTGAGAATGAAAGCAGCCTCAGCTGTAATTCTGTGCATTACAAATACTGCTGTTAATAATTTAGCGTCAAACCCTCAGCAGCAGTTAATCATCAGACCAGTCTGGTTATGCCAGCAAGCTGTGTCCCTAGTCTCTAGATAGATATTTAATACTCGAAGCACGAACTAACCAAGAAACGAAGTGCTGAGTCAAATCAAAGCACAATATTGTTATTCCCAGCACTACTGTACATGTGAAAGATATAAAGTCATATTTTTTTTATTCCTTGTGTGAATCTTACAGGCCTGTAATACAGGCTGCTTTCTGTTATGCATACACTTCTCAGTTCTGTAAGCTCACAATTACAGAATACTGATGAAATAAAAGTAAATTGCTTTTGGACAGAAACATACCTTGGTGAGTCACATCTCAATGGTACAGCTTACTATCATAGAAATGCTGCATCTGACAACACTTTGTATTTCACTTACGGCTACGTGCCAGTTCCCTAAAAAATTAACTTAATGCTTGTTCATCCTACCTTTTGCAGGCAAAGAAAATTTTGGCCACTCAACTACGACAGAGAGCTTTAAAACATCTTGCTAATTTGTATACCTGGGCAAGAAATATGATGAATTATCAATGAGAGGTTTGCACAGTGCAAATTCGTTACAAGATAAGGTTTTATAACGAGCAAGTCATTCCCAATGAACGAGTAAACTCCTACTATGGTGTTGCCTGTAGGGTTATAAAAATGCTTGTCTTTCCTTGATATTCCTTGTAGAAAAGGCTTTAGTACCTGGATATATTCCTGTTAAAGATGGCAGACGTCTGTCGTAAAAACTGATCCAATCGCAGAGCTTTCTCCAGGTACTGCAGATAAAGGGGTTTTGCCAGCTCTGAGCAGCTGCCATCCTCCCTGGCACCCAGCTCCGAGGCCATAGAACAAACTTCTCCTCATGCACAGATGCCTCTGAACACGCAGCTGTTGAGAGGAAATCACAACTATCATCGCTGCCACCACCTCTGAGAAGAAAAACAAGGTGAGCAGGCAAACCTACTGCATGTGACACCAGATGCCAATACATCCAAATCCACAGCTGGAGCTGCATAAATGAAAGCACTATAAATGCCCTAAATATGATAATATTTACTGCTAAATAAATGTCTCCAGCTAAATTTTTTGCTTATGATAGAGCATAAAAATAGTCAGCTTTAGAAAGATTAAATGTTCTGAAGGATTCTTCCTGCTTGTATTACTTCTTAGAGATACTAAAAACCTGAAACAAATTTCACTTTACTGAAAAGCATTTAACATGCAATTCTTCAGTTACTGAATTACTGACTACATTGTTTATGAGTTTATGAATGAAGCTTAAGCACCTGCACTTCTAATTGTTCTCTCCACGTTTACAGTCAGCATCTACCTTTCTCCCAAGTCTTTTATCCTAAAAAAAAGTATTACAAAATAGATTCAAATCTTCCAATATTAAAGAAAAACATCATAAGTGATTGCCACCTTGAGACTAACAGGCGTGGTTGAACCAGAGCAGAATTTATTATTTCTTAATAAACATTCAGCCTTCGTATCTTTCCTAGAGAATAAGCAACAGAATGCCAGGAACTGTTACAAGAGATAATGGCACTTAGACCGAAGCTGTCTAGGTTCAATTTTCTATATGCTAGACCTTCTTATGCCCAACAGAAATAAAATGGATGACCTCAGTTATGAAATACTTGTTTCAAGCAGAGGCTAACAAGACAGCAGAAAGCTCCTGAAAGCCTTCCCTATGAAATCATAGAATCACAGAATCACCAAGGTTGGAAAAGACCTAACAGATCATCCAGTCCAACCGTTCACCTATTCCCAATAGCTCCTACTAAACCATGTCCCTCAACACAACATCCAGCCTTTCCTTGAACACCCCCAGGGTCGGTGATTCCACCACCTCCAGTGCCTGACCACCCTTTCTGAAAAGTAATACTTCCTCATGTCCAGCCTGAATCTCCCCTGCTGTAGCTTGAAGCCATTCCCCCTGGTCCTATCACTAATGACACGAGAGAAGAGGCCGACCGCCAGCTCACTACAGCCTCCCTTCAGGAAGTTATAGAGAGCAATGAGGTCTCCCCTGAGCCTTCTTCTCCAGGCTGAACATTCCCAGCTCCTTCAGCTGGGAATAAATAAATAAATAAGATTCATGTTGTCCAAGAAATTTTAAAATATATATGTCATGTTCTTTATCATCCATCTGGGAAAGAAAAGCAAAAAAATGCACAAAAAGAAAAAGCACCACCTAAAGTCAAAGACTGTCTTCTAAGAGACAGGGTTATGAAGAAAATAAAGAGGTGAGAAAATGAGAGGAAGCATGAAACTTGTGCCTCTGATAGATGAGATTTCTGAGGGAATGGATAAAAAACAATACCAAAAAGGTGGGAGCAGTTTACTATCACATTAACAAAATTGATGTATATATCACACGAGCAGATTAACAAAAATTATATATGGTAGAGAGCAAGATTCAATGCCTATAATATCAAGAAAGAAGAAGAAAAAAAAAAGCTATCTCCTTTATCACCCTTTTACTTTTTTAAAGCTTTCTGTAAACCAGAGCTGGCATGCCTTTTGTGAATATGGCACTCCTTCAGTTTCCAGCCAAAATACCACACATAACCGTCATTTAACAATTTCACTCACAGCCACAAGGCATCCTTCACCTCTCGGCTCTTTGCAGGAAGCTTTCCCCAACCTCAACACTGGGTAGCAGTGCCTCCTGCTTCACCCAGCACCCCTGGCTTCAGCTGGGTTCACCACGCCTTGAGGACACTGACAAACCCAATGTGCTCTTTTCCACCGCACGAGACTTGGCCTAACAAAACTCTACAAGCACAGCAGCAAAATGAAGGGAAAAAATAATATGACAGCAATCTTAACAAAGTCCTCCTTGCACTGGCCCAGTAACAGCGCTCCACATCTCAGCCCTCACAAGCTTTTCACCATTTTCCTATTTTAACTGACCCAAAAGGTTCCTGTACACACCAAAGTAATTACTCTTGTCTTCAAAACAGTTACTGGTGTTCATTCTGCTTCCTGAATAACCCAAATAAACACAGGAGAGCTTCAGAGAACCCTTACATACATCAGCAGTGCCCTAAACAAATTGAGATGTATATTAAATACAGAAGAACTCAGGCTCTGAATTCAGCCTTCCATTTATTTATATGCTAATAGCCACACTCCCAATCTCTCCTGCTTAGCTACCAATTTGACAGAAATAACTTTCAAAACGATACATTTTCTTACAGATCCAAGTTCATTCTTAAGATACCTTCTTTGTCCTTTAGAACACGTTGCTCATTCCAGTGTTAATGATAGTATGGGGCTTACTCATTTACTTTGTTTTTCAAGTCTGCCCACCAGTGGGTCTGGCTGGTAAGCAAACATAGCACTGGAGAAGCACCCTCCAAGGACATCCTCAGGAAGCAGTCAGGCTTTATACAACTTGTCCAAGTTTTATGCCCACTGACTTACACCATCAAGCCAGCAAAATCATTGCTCTCATGAAGCAGTTCAACCTTAACAGCAGACTTACTGAGTTGAATACCTACTGGCCATTTCTGAATTAAGTCCAACAGGTTCCTGCTCCCAGTATCAGTTTAAAGCAGGAGCCACATAAGCAGCAAGTGTTCTGAGCTCCCGCCTAGCTGCCAGCTGGACAGTGTTTTCTTTGTACTGCTTCTCCAGAAGTCACCTTTTTCTTCTTTTCCCTTCCATCACTGGCATTTCTACATCTCACTGAGGCCCAGTATATTACTTTCTCTTCTCTTTACGCCCAGTGCTGACATGAAGCATTATACAAGTGATGGTAGCCGCACTCCTGAGGGCACACACACAAATGAAAGCTGCCTAGGAGGGCTAAGGTGCAGCACAGCGGCTAATCCACACAGCCTGCTCTTAGCCTTTGGCAAATCAGCAAGTAAAACTAATCCCAATGGGCTCAGCTGCCATGCTGAGTGCATGCATGCCGAGTGCAACAGGCCGGCTGGTGAGCTCATTCACTCGGGCACTTCAACCCACACGAGTGGTTTCTCACCTCTCCTCCATACCAATAAGCACACGGATGACACGTTCAAATGGGCCAAAAGCCAAAATCCCAGTTTACATGGGGAATTATGCATTTCTCACACCTCCATTTACATCATCAGCAGTTTTATCCATAGAGCAGGATTAAGAACTGAACACTACCTTCTACACTGTTTTAGTTCCCTCACAATTCGAGCAATTCTCTGTTTTTTTTTTTCCTAATGCCATCTTTTTATGCTTTGCATTTTGACACAAAGATTTTCCAAACTAACACAAACACCCAAGGTGTTTGGTTTTTTTTTCTTGAACAAATTTATGAATCAGACATACAACACTGCTTGTGACAGCACATGCTGTAAGGACACTCTGCAGTCACATCTCCAGAATCACTCCTGGCACAAACATACACATCCACACAAATCAGGGTTTAATTGGAAAATTCACAAGTACAATATCAGTTAGGTGCATTTTTGTCACCTTTTCTTATATTGTGTAATCTCTGATACAGGCAATTGGAGTGGCATAAAGGAGCTTGAAGGGGTATTTTGCTTGGAGGAGAATTCAAACTGAAAGGGGAAAAACAGCATTTAGTTTGATAAAAGCATAGTTACACTGACAACTGTTCTCCACAGTACATTACACGCCCAGACTTCAAGTAAAGAGCAACTCCCAGATAGTCCTTCTAGGGCAGTAACTCTCCTAAATGCAACTCTGACACCCAAGAGACCATTGCTTTTCAAAGACCAGTCAGAAGAGCACTTCATAAGGCACTCAAGTTCTCCATAGCGCAGACCCAGTGCTGACTGGGCAAACAAGCACACATGACTGAAGATAACTGCATCTTTTTGGTTTGCAATAGCTAAGAAATCCTTTTAATCACTTTTCTAAGAAATGTACTTTGTTAAAACTACACACTGCTATACACACAGTACTCTGCTGATCTCCTTTTGTAGAAAGGTTCTGTATTGCTTTCCAAGGAACAAGACAGCACTTCATTGATTTCAGTTCCACTTTAACTGCTTTTAAACACACAGAAGAGCCACTGGGACACAGGCTCCCAGTCTTCTATTTACATAAGTAATGGGCACAGACTGAAGAAAAAAAAAAAGGTATACAGCCCTACAAAAGTGTTATCAGAAGTAAAACCAAACCACAGAACGCTTTAAAACGTACCAAACACAGAAGCTGGCACGTGGCAGCTCCACTCCCACACTTACACCAGGGGAAAAGCTCCCAGGAGAGACTGAGCCACACGTGTCACCACGTGGTGTAGGGTGAGAACAGGCCTTGCCCCCGGGGCCAATGCCCACCTCCCGGCAGCAATCCATTAGGACTGCGGCCCGCACTATGCAGAGCACAGCTGTCCCACTGCGCCCACAACACACAGCCTGCACAGACTGCCTGTCTGCGTGTCGCCCTTTTGCCCCAGCTCACAAAAAGGGAACCATGCCCAGGCAGTTTTCTTCTTGCCACCTAAACAACCCTTACTGCATAATTTAGTTCTCCACGCAGCATGATTACTGTGGAACATACCGCCTTTACGTTATATCTAAGCAGAACAGAACTTGCTCATCTTAACAGCCAAGAAGTGCAAGGCGGGATTTTAAGCAATCTTAGCAACACATATGGGAGAGATGGCCTAGAGGTGACCTAGAGGAAACATCCTCTAACACTGAGAAAAGTTCAAGCTGCTGGCCCTTCTCCCTCACTGCTCTCGGCCTTACCAACCACACGGAAGTCACAGTCCAAGCCTACCAGCACACACTGAGGGGGTGACCACATGAATGTCAGTTTTGACCCACGGAAATTAAAAACAGGTAAGCGTTGCTAACACACAGCTGTATGAGGTACACAAAATCCAAGCAGGTTTGTGTAAGAGAAAAGCAGAATTCTAGCAATGCATATAAAGAAGTCTTGTTAAAAAAATGGATTTAGGCTGAACCATTCTATACACGAGCGAAAAGCAGTCCGAAGGAACTGTCATAACCGCAGAACTGGAAGGGAACATAAAGTCCCCTCAGTCCCACCCGTGCTGCAGACAGGGCTGCCCCCCACCAGCTCAGCTGCCCAGGGCCGCAGCCAACCCGGCCTCGATCGCCTCGGGGATGGGGCACCGCAGCTCTCCGGGCAGCCGTGCCAGGGCCTCACCGCCCTCTGCGCGAAGGATTTCCTCCCAGCGCCCAACCTCCACCCGCCCCGTCTCAGTCTAAGGCCGTTACCCCGTCCCAGGGGCGCGCAGGGGCTCCCCGCCCCGCCACCATCTGACAGCGGCATCGCCCCACGGCAGTTCCCCGCACACCCCCGGAGGCACAGCCCGCCCGCGACCGCGCACCACCGCCCACAGCGGCGCGGCGTCGCGCTGACGCGGCGCCAGACCCCGAGCTGCGAGGCCCCCGCCGCCGGGCGCCCACACGGGGCCGGGGCGCGGCCACCGTTTCCTCCTCCTCCTCTCAGCCCGCCCCGCCGCCCGCCGGCACCTCACGCCCCCGGACCGGGCGGGCAGCGCCGCGCGGGGGCGGAGGGGGGAAGCGGATCGGCCACGCTCCCCGGCCCTGCCCCCGCCGCGACACCCCGCGGCCCCGCCCGCAGTCCGAACCCCCCCGCCGCGCACGCGCTGCCGCCCCCCGCGCGCACGTGCACCCGCAGGTGCACGGCCCCCCCCCCGTGCACCCCCCTCCCCATCCGCTCGTGGGGCTTCGGGGCCGCCGCGCCGCGCGTGGAGGGGGGGATGCGAGGGGGGTGCGGCCCGCGGCGGTCCCGGGGCGCTGCCGACGGCGGGCGGGGAAGGGGCTGCGCCTTTAAGAAAAGGCCCGGCCGCCGCCGCCGCCGCCGCTCGGGGAGGGGGGAGCCGCGGCCCAGCGGGGCGCAGTCCGCCACCGGCCCCGCGTGTCCTTGCGCGGCCGCCGCAGTGCTCACCTGGGGCGCGGGCCCGGCTGCGGTGCGGCGCGGGCGCTGGGGGTGTCCCCGGGGCTCGCCGCCCCGCTCGCTCTGCCCGGCCTCTCGCCGCGCGTTGACGGGGCCGCCGCTGCCCGTCTCCTGCCGCGGGGCGCTCCCGGCTCCTGCCTCGCCAAGATGGCGCCCGCGCTGCTGCTGAGGAGGAGGCGGCGGCTGCGGGCGCTGGGACGGCGGCGGCGGCCACTTTCGCTCACTGAGAGGAGAGGAGCAGGGACACGGGGAGCCATGGCGGGGGGGAGGAGAGGCGCCATGGCCAGGCCTGAACAATCGAGCCCGGCACGCCGGCGCGACGCTCCGGCCCCGCGCCTCTGCCCCGCCGTCCCGCCGACGTCGCCGCCGCCGCCGTACGAGCCCCGGGCCCGCGCCGCGGGCGGCGGCTGTGCGCGTAGCCCGCGGGGGGTCTGCGCCCATCGATGCGTTCCTCGGGCCGATTGGTAGAGTCTGGCGGTGACGGAAATTGCCGAAGGGACTCGGGCGAAGCGGCCGGGTGAGCCGGAGAGTCTCGCGCGAGGCGGGGCAGCTCTCGCGACGCCTACGGCGGGAGGCGGATGTACACCGGAAGTGACGTGCACTCGCCCTTGAGCCGCCGGAAGGGCGGTGGGGCTGCTGGCCGCGGCAGCCGGGAGTCCCTCGGGGCGGGTGGCAGCGGCCCGGTCCCGAGCTGCGGGAGCGGGGGGGTGGGCGGCCCCACGGCGGTTGGCACCGGCAGAACGGCTGTCGCGTGCAGAGCTGCGTGCGTTTTGGTATATTGCAACGCGAAGAGTTAGGGCAGATGAGCTTGAGACAACGCCGGCCGGAATGTGATGGTGAGGGCACGATGCACCGTAAGGACTGCAGCTGTCGGCACGGCTACCTCCCAGAAACCACTGACTGGTATCACGGCTCAGTGCGTTCATCACCTGCAGTACTTCGACTCACTCTCTGCTTGGAGACAGCAGTTGGTACCTCTTCTCTACATTCTCTAACAACGTATCAGAAAGCATATGGTAGCACAACAGCTGAGAAACAAAAAGCAAGACTGCTTCACCTCCCAAACAAGCTTCTACAGCTGTCATTACCTGCACACAGCCTAGCAGTTACACTAAGGAAGAGAAGTGCACCACATTACTACCAAGCTTAGAAAAATGAACCATACCAAGTGCTAGCATGGGGCAGCATTACAAATTTACCAATTTAAAAATATTTTGTGAAGTCCTACTTCTCCTCTAAAAAAGATGGTTCTCAGTCTAATGCATCAAGACTGACAAGTTGGTCCCAATCTATTTCTTCACACCATTTGCAAAATACAAGGGAGAGCTGCAGTCCTGTTTACCCTGAAGATTTTGGTGAAGCAGCACAGATGTCCAGCTCCTATCTGAAAATCCTTATTCTTTAATAGTATTATTCCAACCAGAACTTTGTTTCTCCTTGAGAAGCCCAGGTGTGCATCTCAGTTTTGTTCATACCCGGCATAAGGACACTCTACCATCGCTCTTCTACATCCCAGACTCAACACCTTCACATCCAACTAGTCCCAAACCCCCAGTATCCAATACCCTGCAACTTCCCCCATTTTTCTGTAATGGGACCAGATGGGCCCAGGTGATTTCAGTTCTGGAAATACACTACAAGCACTTCTGTGCTGGTTCTGAAGACCCTGCATATTTCATGTCACAACTCACTGACTTCTGAGAATGCACTGCTGCTTAGGAAAGTCTTGTTACAGATGAAAAGTGCTGAGGAGGGGCCCAACCCAACATCTTCTAGTAGACCAAATCAAACAAGTCTCGACATCCACAAAAAAAGCTGTAAGAAACATTTCAAACCTGTTCTATTTCTAAAGTGAACCAAGATAAAACAACTGTACACTTCAATTACAGAATACTGTTCAAAATTTTTAAAAATACAGAAAAGTGCACTGTCAAAAATCACACCTTCCAACTTTTTTCTAACACTTTCAGAAATAAATACATCTAGAATTTCAAAAACCTTTATTTAAATACTTCTGGTCTAATATTTTAATGAATAACAGACAATGCAAGTACACTGGAAATAAACAAGTTTTGCCTACCTTATTTTTCTTAGAAAAAAAAACCAAAAAACTCTATACATGGTTTACACAAATTTAACTGCTTTCCCTTACTTTGAGAACAGATGCTTTTCTGTATACAGACATTACTGTTACTGTCTTATCTATATGAGTAAGACACAGTAGTGCTGACAGAGGTGGGCTGCAACTTCATAAGCAGAATGCTGCCTTTGCCAGTCAGGATACAGTAATTCTGTCTTGGCAGAAAAGAGCCTTTTTTTTTTTTTTTTAATCTGTACACCTCTGCTGCTTTTGCCAGCAATGCTGCTCAGTAGGGTGTGATCTCCTGCACTCTCCTATGCAAGTTCTTGTAAGCTGTGCCAAGAGACTTATCTGTCTATAAGCCAAACCCACATGAGCTGGCCAGAATTTTTTTTTTTAAACTTTCCCAAGCAAACCCTTTCCAATCACAAAGATCAGGCACCTTACAAGCTTCCCCATTCACATATTTGGTTTGAGTGAGAGTTTTACATACCTGCAACAGTTGAAAACAACAAAAGCTCCGACACAACAGTCTGATAAAATAGACTAAAAGAAAAAGTCAATAGCCAAAATAGCTCATGGGGAAAAAGAGATCTCAAAATAGATTTCAAGTCAGAAATTAGGATTAGAGAGACCGTCAACATTCCCCTTAACAATCTGCTCATCTGTCCTTGTAAAGAAGAAATTTGTTTGGTGCTCCTGCATAGGGAATAGCTCCGTCTTATTCTTTGAAATATGTATTCCTCAAATACATAACAAACTTATCAATTTATCTGCACCAAAGATTTTTACAGTCAACCTGAGATTGGTCTGAGGATCTCCTACAGACTTGACACTTGTTTTTGACTTTCTTCCTTCACTTCATAAAGTAGATCCTGACTTTTGGAGGATGTAGTTTGACACGTGGCTTCATGGGGGGGGAAGACAGACCCTGTCATCTCAGTGGGTTTCATCCTTCTGTGGATTCCTCTCATCTAATTCTATGACTGGTCTGATCAAAAGACCATCCTCACTTATTCTGTACTCTTTCACTGCTTTCTCTCTTCGCAGCTTCTGGATGTCTGCCAGCTGACGCAGCTCTTTTGGCAGCTCCATGCAAGTAGGCTGATAAGGAAAAAAAGAAAAGAAATAAAAACAATTCATATACATACACATGCTCTACTTTCGTTGGTGCCAGATAAGAGTTTCCTCTGATTTGGCAACAAAACAGCGCAATCATCTCATTACATCTACAGCACGAATTAACTATCTGCTTGTACAAACACTATACTGGGGGGGAGGAGAGCAGGGAAGGACTTTATCCTTTCTCTCAAAGGCAGCCTAAAGGGAAGAATATTAGACCTACCTTACTGTTTATGCCCTTATTATGTAGATCTTCAGCATTTAAGTGATATTTTGTGTATGGGATTGAGATTGCTCCAGTGATCTTCTGTACTACTAACTTACAAAGCCTCAAAAGACTTGCAGTCAGTTCAGGTTTCCTTGCAGGAGTCACTGCAAGAGCACCTCTCCTGGCTTTTCTCCAAATCATAGTATTTCTATCCTAAGCAAACAAGCCTCATGTAGAATAGTCAGTAGTTTGCAAGTCTGGAACAGCTGCCTAGGAAATTCACAAAAGGAGTTGCACTTCTTGACATGGTTCTGAGCAGTTGACGAAACACTATTCAGAACATTACATTCAAGGAGCTGCTATTTAACAAGGATTGCAATGCTCACTGCATTTGGAGAAACATCAGAAAATTCATCATTGCTCTCATCCTTACAAAGGGAAATTACACAAATGAGAAAGCCTGATAACAAGAAGGAAAAGGCAGCCAAACAGCTTAAATCCTGTCAAGTAGCATAGAGACAACTTCGAGATACAGGCAGCACAGAGTAAACATCACTTAAAAGCAAAATATCACAGAAAGCAAAAGGAAACCAGCAGGACTGCAGAGCAGGGCAACAGAGACTATGCAGCAACTATCCTTCAATAAAGTTAAGGTCACATCAAAATGAAGAAAATAAGGATGAAGTTGCAGAGCAAACAAAAGACAGGCTAGAAAAAATTACTATTTAGCAAAAGTATAAGAAAGCAAATTTTAAAAACTTTCTTTAAACTCCAGAAACACATA